TAATTAATTTTATGTTTAAGTTTATAATTTAAAAGAAAAAAAATTTTGCTAAGTGTGGGGTTCGAACCCACGCTCCCATTCGGGAACCAGAGCTTAAATCTGGCGCCTTAGACCGCTCGGCCAACCTAGCTCGAAATAAAATTCTTAATAGTCAATCATCAAGTTGGAGGAAAAAACGCGCGCATTTTTGAAATAATTTTATTGAATAAACTATTTAATTACAAATATCAATTATAATTTTTATTTTAAAATCTTATTTTTACAATAGTAATAAAGTTTATGAAGAATTTTAATGAAAACTATTGATTATTATGTAACATTTTAATAAAGTTCACTGTGTAATTCAATAATTAAAATATATATAAATTAATATTTATGAATAAAAAATTTATATTTACTTTATTGTTTAAAGAAATGTTTGCTTGTAAATAATTTAAATAATTTAATTTATTTAGAAAACTTTTTATAAAATACAAAATAATAAATTAGTCCCTGTTTAATATATTTTTTTCGATTTTCTCTGTATATCAGAGCTTGCATTTTTTATAAATATTTAAATAAATAATATATTTGATGAATTTTTTCTGAAAAATGGAATTGATTTTAAAATTATAAAAAAATATACAATATATAATTTATAAACTTTCTCTTTTGTATTTTAATGTTTAAACATTTTTTAAAATAATAAAACAGATAAACGTTAACAAAAAGATTTACTATAGTTAATTTGAATAATATTGCGAGTATATAATATGTGAAAATATTTATGCAATGGTTAAATTATGTTGTAGAAATTTTAACGACAATATATTTATGAACAAACTTTCATTATTACTGATTTTGTGTGCCCATTTTATTAACATAAAATTGTCTCTAATGTGAAATTTTCATTTTACGGATTAAATCCTAATAATATGCGTATATTTATAGCTGGAACTGCATAATTAAACTGTTATTATCATCATCGATAAAATATTTGTAAAACGTTTAATACATCGGAAATTTTTTATTTATTTCAAAAAAATTATTCATATTTCGATTTGTTATAAATTTTTTTAATTATCTTTTTCATTTTATATATGTTAAAGATTTAATTATTATATTATATTATATAAAGTAAAAATTTATTATTATTAAATATTTTATTGTTTAACTAATTTGACTGAAATTCAATGTAAATAATTCTTTTGTTTAATTTTAAAAAATGGTTGTGCTGGATAAAATAAAAATAATGAAAAATATTATTATAATAATAATTTACATATAAATCTCAGTATTGTGAACATTAACACTCATATAAAGTACTTCTATGTACAACAGGGTAAATGCATTTAATATATATACTTATAAAACATTGTATTATATTGACTCGTCGAGATGTCTATACAAAATAATATGCTTTTATCAACTAAAAATGGTACATAACCTCATTATATTATTAATTTAATATATATAAACATACATTTTTAATACTACTGTCATTATTTATTAATAAGAGTTTGAAAAATGAGGGTCGAGAAATAAGAACATTTGTTTAATTTCCATTTTCATTTGTAAATTATCTTCATAAAGTTTATTATTACTTAATTACTCTATAATATTTGCATTAAATCAATTTTTATAATTTATTAATTTAAATTTTGATACACTGTATATGCTGACATTGTTTCTATTTTATGATTATTATTATTATTATTATCTATATATTTCCCTATTTATTATTTTTTTTATTATTTATGCATTTATAACTTTTCACATTTGTTTACTTTTTTTATTAAATTTGGATGTTTCATTAAATAAAAAATAAAACAGAAATGAGTCTGAACAGAAAAAATCTATTATTCGATATGTAATTATAAAAATTAATCAAATAATGATTCATTTTTGTAATTATTCTTTTGCGATAATATGAAATTTATTGACAAATCTTATATTTATAATTAAAGAAAAAAAACTGTTTTATAGACTAATAAAAAATGTGACGCGTCGGCAAGAAAGGGACCTAAGCGTCCAAGAATTGTAGGTTAAGTTTGTGTCAGTTTCATATTGATTAAATCTTTTTTTTTAATTGTGTAACAGTAAAAGCAGTTTTTAATAAATATTTTCGATATAATGAAGAAATAAGCATTAATGGTTAATATTGAAAATTGATCCACTTTGTACATTTTCTTTTCAAATATGGCAAACATAACCTGAAACTCCTGGACGCTTAGGTCCCTTTCTTGGCGACGCGTCACAAATATATACCTATATAATTTTAATAACATTTTTCATTACAACTTTTTTATTGATTTGAATTCACAATTTCAAAATTATACTAAAAAATTATAATAAATTTTTATTGAAAAATGTTGTTAAAAAATTATATATATATATATAGTTACCAATATTTATGTATATAATATATAAATGTTTATCGTTAAAGAATAAATCATTTCATTGTATAATTAATTGACAAAATTTTCACCTCGACAGGCAAAAAAACTTTTTTTCCAAAGAAAAAAAAAATGTGAAAGTAGAAAATTCGAAACATATGTATACATGTGTAGTACTGCTATTTCCTTATTAAGAGCGCTCGCACAAGAAAAGACGGAGCAGTGTGCAGGATATGATTCAAATGAGTTAGAAAAGGACAGAAATATCGCTCCTTCCTTTTCTACCTCATTTGAAACACATCCTGCACACTGCTCCGTCTTTTCTTGTGCGAGCGCTCTAAAAAAACACAAATCCGACCGCTGACTTCTTTCAAATTAAGTAATATAATATTTATATGTACGTATAATATGTAATGTGCGTTCGAATAATGTTGCAAGATTATTATGAATATATAAGTAAAAAAACCCTATAAATAATAAGAGATTACAAGTTTTTAATGTATAAGAAAACAAAGATTCGTCTTCTTTAATTGTCATTGTAATTTTATTAACTATATATCTTATATCTTTAATAGATTATTCCGGTCTTGTCTACTTATTATCTATATATGTATATGTTTAACAACAATTTTTTCCTACTCATGTTAAAAATTTGTTTTTACATTTTTAATTTTGTTCATTTTGGTAAAATTCAAAATTGTTTTGAATTTTTAAATTTATATATGGTAAAATACACAAGCGTCGCTCTCACGAAATGTGTATATCTAAACTATAAAATTATTATATACTTATAAACCACCTGTGAGTCTGCCTCGTCTTTTATAAAGTTCTTGCTATATTCACGATTCATATTTTTTACTGTTACCCAATTCCCTTATTTAATGCGCTGACAAATTTTTACATTAATATTATTATATATATTTTACATTACCTTAATTAATAATGAAATATAATTTTAAAACAACATGTTTCGATTCTCAAAAGCAAATTATATTTCATCTTCGTTTAAAGGCACTCTCACACCTTTTTGCATGGAGAATAGACTACAGGAGACCAATCTCCCATGCATGCGCTTGACTAAAATGGGGCTGGGAGTTGTTGCAAGTTCAGCGGTAGTACTCTGTACGTTCCGACCGGTGGCGAAAGAAATGCATAGTTTTCCACTTGTCTCTTAAAGTAACATTCTAAATTTTAAAATAGAAAAAAAATTTATAAATTTTAAATATTGATAAATATTTTTTAAAGATTTAAACTTACTGTTGGTACTTTAAAAAAACTGCGATTTGTGTTCAGGTTTAAGAATGAATCACATTTCGCACATTTTCTTTTTGTCAATTTTCGCCTCTTATTATTATTCTGTAAATTAATATACCTTTAAATTAATTTAAAATTTAACTTAAAACCAGAACAAAATATAACCTAAGACTATTACACTAATGATTTTATTTTTGAATTAGAAGTAAAATACAAATATATATATAAATATTCATTGTTAATAATGGAAATTTTTTTTAGGTAAAATATTTATTTTGAACTTACCTCATCCATTTTTTTCGCCAAAAAACAATATGTAAACTAACTTCGCGAAAAATTCATGATGTGAGACATGTGTCTTTACCGGGAAATATATTTTTGAACCAAGAAGCACTTTCATTTTCAAATTAGAAGAAACGATGCGAACGCTGCGCCGCGCGTGACATGTTTCAGAACTAATAGCTTACAACAAGAAAACGCTCATTTCACATACACGAGATTGATCTCCTGTAGTCTATTCTCCATGCCTTTTTGGCTGCCTGCCTGCATGTTACCATGGCAACGCACGAGTGTGAGTGAGACAGAAAATTTGAATATTCAAATTTTTAAATTTTCTGTCGCACTCACTCTCATGCGTTGCCATGGTAATCTGCAGGCAGCCAAAAAGGTGTGAGAGTGCCTTAATATGTAAAAAATACCTAAATAAAAACGGTTAACTATAAGTGTTTTTAAATTCAAATATGTACGTACTATTTTATATTGTCTTCAATTTTTTACATACGCTTTATTGATATAATAATAGAAAATCATCTTAGTGTTATTTTGTGGTTCTATTAACATATTAAAAAAAAGTTTTTTATTGTATTAAAATAAAAAATGCATTAAAAATTTAGGTTATGTTTACTATTTGTTGCCGAATATATATGTCGAACAGGCAAAAATTCATGCAATTTTTACATATTCTTAATTTATTTATAAAACTGATAAATTTAAACAATGGAAAACATTCTCGTCCTATTAATATAATAATAAAATAAGAAGTTACTGTGTTACCAACCGTTTTAACATTTTGCGGTGTCAAAATTTGCAGCAACTGTAACTCCTGGTAACCGGCAACCAGTCTTGCAGGCGAGTATACACATAATAATCTTCATCTAATAATTAATATTCTGATAAGACCAGGATTTTTTTAAAAAAAGCAGTAAAAATTCTTTATTTAATTACCTTTCTTTTAAAATTAGCATTTTTTAAAAAATACTTACACAAATAAATGAAATTAATTTCTTCTAAATATTATTTATTGCGCATGCGTATCAAACATGCGCGTAAGACATTGCAAATTGGTTATATACATGATAGCAGAAGCAGTATTAGTATTTAGTATACATTGGCAATTGGCATTGAGTTTGTGTGTATCGTGTGTATATATATTTAACGATAGCCGTTTCGTTTTACAAAAGTATTTTGTGACTGACGACACATAAAAAAATATAATTGCTGTCAATTTGCGAAATATCTCCTGACGTTTATAGCGTTAAAATATCAAGTCACGAATAAGAATCAAAGCAACTTAACCTAAATTTTATCCTTAAACCCATCAGGAACAAATAATATTGTCGGATAAATTTTTATCAATATTTCAATTTAATATTTTCCAAAATAGTAATTTAATAAATAATCAATAAAATTCTTTTCCGATAATTTTATTTGGAACAGTGATAAAATAGTGCGATTAAAACCTAACCTAACATTATGTGAAATTTATTTTTTGAAGGACATATTTAGACGAATTTATCATAATCGAACGTAAAAATCAATTGTGTTTGATTAAAATTTTTATTAATTTTAATTACCATAATTGATCAATGGATGACACGTGCTTTACAATTGAAGATTTGTTGCTTTTGTGTTACGTCAACATTTACTTGTAATTATGTATACTATATATATTTTTTTAAAGGAAAATGATAAGATTGAGGAAAAAAAGAAGTCAATTAATTTACCACAATTATAACCATATGGGTTATTGTGGTAAATGAAAATTGACAAAATTCATATTTTTTTTTTGGTGAAAAAAATGGTTTTATTTTTAAAAAATTATTTTTTATTTATAGAAAATGTTGACACAAAAATTGAGTAAAAGACGGTTTCTCGTTGATATTTTGGCCTTGTTATTTGGACTTGGAGCTTGGATTGGAATTAATGGAATATATGTGCAACTGCCACTATTAGTAAATAATGCACCTGAAGGATGGACACTTCCGGCATACATGGTGATGTTGGTACAAATTGCTAATTTGGGACCTCTTCTTTACACCCTGTATGTCAAGTGAGTATAATATTTCAATTTTTTTTAATTGAAAAATTAAGTATTATCATATATTATGTTAACTCAATATTGAAACATATGATAAATTTTTTAGATCAACTTACGTGAATAAAATATCAAATTACATTACAATCTCCTTTTGCTTAAATGTTGTTTCTTATTTGCAATCTGTGGTAATCGAACTCTTTATTTCTATTTTTAAGAAGGAAAACTCATGTAACTTGAGGATACAATTACATAATATCTTCTTTTCTTTTTAAATTGATGCGAATTGATGGAAAATAGCTTTTAAAAAGCGTTAATTTTTTATGATAAATTTCTGATTGTTTATGAATAATGGATTTAAAAAAATGGGAAAAAATATTTCACAGATATTCGTCATGTATTGGAGATAAAACGATTATCTACTGCCTCCTGGGATCCGCAGTATCATCAACCTACGCTCTCTCGTCACTCTACGACAAAACATCGGGAATCTTTGGCGAGGAACATTCCACCCATCTGCTGGGATTAATGTTCATCACTGCAGTGGTTGGTTGTACAAGTTCCGTTCTATTTATGCCCTATATGCGAAATTATCGCGAAATATATTTAATATCATATCTCGTTGGTGAGGGACTTAGCGGTTTTATACCCAGTATTGTTGCACTAATTCAAGGTGTCGGTGGTAATCCAACGTGTGTCAATGTCACCAAATCAAATGACTCTAAACTTGTGTTCGATACACACTATCCCGACCCACGTTTTAGTACAAGAACATTTTTCATATTTCTCGCGACTTGTTTACTATTGAGTTTTATTGCCTTCCTTGGATTGAATAAATTACGAATTGCCCGTTGTGAACGTGTGCATCCTCTCGATTGTACGGAAAATTTACCAACAACAATGGACATGAATACTCCGGCGAGTTACAAGACTGATATACTTTGGACAATGTCACGACGTACTTATCAACATTTATTGATAATGATGGGACTCGTTTGTTTTCTAGGCAATGGAATGTTACCGAGTATTCAATCATTTTCGTGTTTACCCTATGGGAATATTGCTTATCATTTAACGGTGACATTATCGTCAATGGCGGGTCCACTTGCAATGTGCTTGGGTTTTGTCATTAAGAATCCACAAATTAGGAATCTTCAAATTCTCACTGTGATGACATTGTTATTGTCAATTTTGGTATTCTTCTTGGCACTAAAATCACCGACACCGCCATTACAAAATTCATGGTTAGGTGAAATGATTGTCATTCTCTCTTGGGTCGCCGTTTGTGGATTAATTGGTTTCATTAAAATGGGCATTACAACATTATTTCGTCCTGATCCGGGTAAGGGACTTTATTACACTGGAGTTGCAACACAAGTTGGTTCTCTTGTTGGCGCATTATTAACATTTTGTCTAGTCAATTATATCAAAGTCTTTCAAACTTATTCACCATGTTCATCACTTATTGAAGGTCAGTGAACATTTTATAATAATAATAAATAATAATTCTATATCCCAGAATAGAAATTTCAAATCATCAGTAGGCAATGGAATTAAAATTTCTTTATTTCTTGTATTTTTTTAATATTTGTAACAACTTAATTTTTAACAAATTTCAAATCATCAAAAAATTTGCATTTGAATAAAAATTACAATTTTCTCTGCTAGTAGGAAACAATATTTAGAGAGTAAAATAACCTAAAAATTTGACAATATATTAAAATATAAAATTGGACTCTGATTCTTTTAGGTAAATAATTAGATTATTAGAATATTATTTTTTTCTGCGATAATATATGTAGTTATATAGTAATGTTATTAAAAAGGCATATACTTAAAATTAAAATATTTTTAAAATAAATCCAAATTAATATTTTTTATATTATTATCATTATTAATATTATTATTATTATTATTATTATTATTAGTCTGATATATAATATAATAATTCATTTTGAATTCGTTCGATATGTACATTAACTATGCAAATTACTGAGATGAATAGGAAAAAAATAATACTTTAAATTATCAAAATTTAATTTTCAATCAATTATAGTAACTTCTCATATGATGAGAATGTGAAAATATATATTTATAAATTCTCAATACAATTCATATCGTTTAAGAAAAAAATGTATCTTATGATTCCCCTAACGAATTTGTAATATTCTATAAATGTAGGTCAATGTAGAAAGTTACGAAAAACTCGTTCCATCAAAAAACAAATTTTTTTCGATATCTTGAAAAATAAAAAATTATATCAATTCCAGCGCATTTTCCAATCAGAAATTTTCAATCATGATTTTTCGGCCACCTTTTATCGTGGGGCATAAAAATTTCTTTCTTAAATAATATAATAAATTTGATAAAAAAAAATTCAAGCTCATGCGCACAAATGATGCGCATCACCAATAGAAATTGTGGTTTCATTATTGTTGAAATCTTATTTTGAAGAAGTTGAGACAGTGATAAAAAATAATTCTCAAGTTTCTCCTCGATTTGTTTTATTTCTATTATTTCTCCGCGATCAATATAATGTTTTGAACAAAATTTTGAAAAAAAATGGTGAAGATAATATTAATGAAAAGAAGATTATTTACAAATTCTCTGTTTGTTCACATATTAATTGCAATATTCGGTTTATCAGCATGGCTTGGAATTAATGCAATTTTCGTCGAATTACCAATTTTAGTAACAACAACAAAAGAATGGAATTTACCAATGTATATTGTTATAATGGTGCAAGTGGCAAATATTGGTCCATTATCTTACGTAATTGCACGTAAATTTGGTTTTAAATTTCATGAATCACGTTGGATATTTGGTATGTTGATATTTAGTGCAATTATCATGTGTCTTCTTGCATTTTTCCATGAAAAAACAATAAATTTCCATAACAAGGAATACAATTATGTATTATTTTTAGTGACATTTTCCACAGCTCTTATTAATTGTTCAAGTTCATTGTTATTTATGCCCTATTTACGTTATTTTCGTGAAATTTATCTCGTCTCATATTTCATTGGCGAGGGTATAAGTGGTATATTACCGAGTATTATTGCCCTTATTCAAGGTACAGGAAATTCACAATGTGACAGTACAAATAATTCAAATTTATTGTCAGAAACACGTTTTTCGTCGAAATATTATTTTATCACAATTTTCATTTTATTACTCATGTCATTGATGGCATTTTTTCTTCTTGAAACTTTAAATTTCGTTCGAAATGAAAAAATCTTGGAATTATCTACGAATAAACAGGAAATTCGAAGAGAAATTGTTGAAGATGAAAAATTGGATAAAAATTTGAATATTCAAAAAAGAGAAGAAATGACGGGAACAAATGATAATGATTTTTCAACATTGCAAAGGGAAGAAATTTTGAAAAATGGTGAAATTTCCCTAAGAGTGAAGGAAATAATTTTTGAAAAAAAGGAAGAAAATGAAGAGACAATTGTAAATTTGAATGAAAAAAATGAAAAAAAAAAAAAATTTTCCTTGAAAATTTATTTATATCTTTTATTAGGCGTTATGTGTTTATTGGGAAATGGATTTTTACCCGGTATACAATCGTATTCATCGTTACCATATGGAAATAAAACGTATCATTTGACAGCGACACTTTCTCAATTGGCAAATCCAATTGCATGTTTTCTTGTAATGTTATTTCCAATATCATCACCGTCATTGGAAAAATCGAGTACTAGGTTAATTAATTGTCTGTCGTTGATTGTATTTATCATTTGTTGTTATGTAATTTATCTTGCTTTTGAATCTCCACGACCACCTTTACAATCGTCTGTAATTGGTCAAGTGTTGGTTATAATCTCATGGATTTTACTGATAGGACTTATCTCTTATATAAAACTCACTGTCACAACAATATTTCGACACGAGTCAGAAAGTGAGAATCTCCTTCGTATTGGTGTTGTCATGCAAATTGGATCGGCGTGCGGTGCTCTTGTTTCATTACTTTTAAGTAGCTTTACTCGTCTTTTAAATTCCTATGACTCGTGTGCCACGGATAAATTTTAGTTCATTTATTTTTTAATTTAAAACAAAAATTATAATATTTTCCCTTTAAAGAAAAATTAATTTAATTAATTTAATTTTCTGAAGTATTTGATTTATTATTTATTTTTTTAATATACTTTTTTCAAAAAAAATAAAATTATAAAACTCACACACACATATATATATATATACATTAGAAAAACTTGACAACAATAAGAAAAAAAGAAGATAATGTAATGTGTGACTAAACGAAAAGTCATTTTTGTCTTATCTTAATAATATTCCTAATCTTTTCTTAATTATTTTCATGAAGTATTAAATTTTATGTTTAAATCCCCTGTATATTAACTTAACATTAATTATAATAATAGTAATGAATATGATAATAATAGTAATAATTGTAATTTATAAAATACTGTCTATACGATAAAAAAGATTAACGAATGGATGAAATTATCAAATTGTATTTTTTAATGACAACGCAAAATTAAATGTATAAAAATATGAGACAAATAGCTTATTGACAATTTTACATTGTACATATAACTTACATCGTACTGAAGATATAAATGTAGACATTTTTTACAAACCTTTATATACATGTAAGTGTAATTTTTTTAAAACGATGTACTTATATATTATTTACATTTCTATTAATTTTAAAATACTTTGTACTTTTTTCTGATGATTGTTTAAATTTAATTATTGTATAAATAATTATCATGATTTTTTTTCATCAATTATATAGGTATACATACATACCTACTTAATTTTATTTTTTTAGTCAATTATTTAAAAAAAAATCATTTTTTTTTATAGAAAAGTTTTCTATATAGCGAAGAAAAAGTGCAAAAGAAATTCTTTGTAATATGCCTGTAAGCATTTATATTTCTGGATTTCGAATTATGAAAAATAATCTCAATATTGCTATCCATTTTGTAATATGTTTTCGTTTAGAATTATTTTAAAATAATTTAGAAAACAAAATTGGGAGAAAGAAATATAGTGAATTTTTATTTATTAGTTGAATTTATAATAAAGTACTTTTCTCCTTAATTTATAGATGATTTTTAATTGTAGTTTGATAGAAGACAAATATTTTCTATTTGTTATAAACAAAAAATCAGGGAAATAGGACTGTATATTATATATATAAAAAATGTTATTTGTGGTTATAAATTTTTATAAATAAAATATATTGTTCAGAAACAAATGTATCATACCCATTTCTTACAAAATTCGCAAATTACAAATATTATAATATTAATTACCTATAGGTAGTTAATTAATTCACCTTTTCTAATTAATTTCATTATAAGTATAAGTTATTATTATTATTCGAAAATTGCTTAAAAGTAACAAATTTGTTGTTTATTTTCAAAAAGAATGCACTTTAAGAAAAACTTTGTTATTTACGAATTTTAATGTTCGCAACAGTGAAGGTAACACAATGTTTTTTTATGAGTGCATGCTAGATGCATCTCCACAAAATATTTAAATATTTTGCGGGAAATGCAGGTCATTTTTTTATATTTATTTATATTTATAAAGCCCTCCAGGCTATATAAGAAATTAAGAAATATGATAATGATGTGATATAAAAAGTAAAAGTTAATTACCTATGCTGAAAATAGTTGAATTTTCTCTTGAATAAGAAAAGGTTAGGGAGAAGGGGAGTTTTGCGCACGCGCCTTTATAGGAACTGCATGTTAAAACGTCAGGTCAGGTCAGATATGGTTGGTAAACAATGCAACTCCACAAAATATATTATTATATACAATTTACGTTATGTTTTTTTAAAAATATGATTTAAGAATAAAAGGTGTTCATTAGTTAATAAGCAACAATATATTCATTTATAAATAGATGAAAATCGAAAGAAATAGAAAAGACGAAATATTTCGTTACAATAAAAAAAATTAATAATAATGTTCGACGAAGAAAAAGTAAATGTTTCTGATCATGAAGATGATTGTCAGGATGAAAGCAGGACAGTTTCTCTTTCTCTATTAGATTTACCAGTTGAAGTAAGTAGATAAAAAATCATTTTTAATATTAGAAAACAAATTTTTTGACCATTTTTTAAAAATTATATATAAATATATGAGAAAAATATATATTTTAAATATAAAATCTTATATTGAAATGGGGTTAGTAGGCCTTGTTTAAAAATAGGATGTCCTTTTATGGGAAAAGAAATTTTTGTATAATTATCTCCATTATTCTTCTCTGGTTATTATCCTATTATTTAGAAATACAAAATTAAATACTTAGTAAAATAATACTTTTTTAAATAAATAAAAAGTTAATATTAATTAATAAGAATTATTGTTTTTTTTCGAGTTGGGGATTTTTTTAAAATTCTAAAATTTTGAAAATAATTTGTTTGTAGAATATTAATTTGTTTTAAAAAGCAAATAGCTCTAATTTATTGTTTTATTCTGTTTGACGTTTATCAGCTGATCCGTCGCCATTTTTAAATACCAAGCTTTGAGCAATATATATATATATATATATATATTTCCATGTTTATCAACATTTTTCTTCTATTTAGATCTTATTTAAAAACTTATAATTCTTGAAAAAAAAACTTGATTTTTTTACTTTGATTTTGAAGAATTTTTCCCTATTTATTGTGGGATTTTTTAATTATTGTACCCTAGGTATTATAATAAATTAATAAATTTTTAGGTGATTTTTTTGTAAATTTTTAGTTTATTATTTTGTTATAAAAGGATATTACGTTAATTTTCTTCCCTTTTTTTAATTTAGGTATTTCTCCATATTTGCTCGTTCTTGGATGCAGGAACTTTGGTCCATGCTTTGGGTTTAGTATGCAAACAGTTTCATGAAATTTTGAACGATGACTCGTTGTGGAAGGTTAGAATTAATCAAATTTGGCCAAATGTCAAATATCCAACTCTACCGCCGGGTAAGAGATAAATTTTGTTTCTTTTCAAATTTAAGACATTAATTAGAACTGAAAATTTGTAATATTTTCTTTTCAGATATACGAAAAATTTTTTTTTTCTCTTTTCTTAAAATGTTTTTTACAATATAAAAATGATATGCAAATTAACTTTTTTTCGCAGACGAAGAAGATGAACTATTTTGGAAATTATCGTGTATTGCTGTTGAGAGGCAAACATCACTTTGGTATAATGAAGATTCCATAGAAAAATTGTCATTAAGTAACGTACATTACAGCACTATCGATGGAGTTCTTTTAATGCATGTGAGTTTCTCTTTAAATTGAATGTTTTTAAATAAGTAAAACTTTGATTAATTATAATTAATATTTGGTGCAATAATTGTAACTTTAGTCGTGACAAAAGTTATGTAGTGAAAATAATTGTTTTTCAGAATGGACAACTTTGTATTTCGGGCGCAAGAGATCGAACGTTAGTATTGTGGCGTTTACCAAACGATGAGAATAAATGTCTAAAATCCGTGACAGTTGATTTGGCGCACAAGGGATGGATTTGGGATTTGACATCGATAAATGATACAATTTACAGTTGCAGTTGGGACAGAACAATAAAAGCGTGGACATTGTCCGACGCTGGTCTTACACATTTAACAACATATGAAATGTATGTTACATGTATATGCATGTGAGACATATATGTTTTTTTAAATGAAAATATACACATGGAATATTTTGCTTTTAAGGTCATTATCTGGTGCATTATTGTGTGTTACATCGTGTCCAGAATTATCGCTTTTTGCAACAGGATCATTTTGTAAAGCTGTCTTATTATTTGATCCGCGAACTAATTCCAATGCAGTAGCACGATATCAGGAGCATCAAAGAGCAGTGATTAGACTTGCAATGAATTCAAATTATATTCTCTCTGCAAGTGAGGACAGGACTGTTGCAATTTGGGATCATCGAATGAGACGAATTTTAAATAAAACTCAGGTAATAAATTATTTAATTTTTCAAATGAATTTTCTTTTTTTCTATACTTGCAGAAATATTAATTCTTAAAACTGAATAATATGTATGTACACAATAATATTGTTTGTAAGATAAATAATGAAAATAATTATTCTTTCGAACATATTTGTATATAGATTTCTGATGATTCATTTCCAAGGAGTTTATTTATGCGAAAGGATATTGTTTACGTGGGAGATAAGGCGGCAAAACTACATATTTTAGATCCAAAAAAAAATTACGAACATGTAAAAACTTATGATACGGCACATAATAAAGGAATAACTGGCGTTCATTGTACTAATGGTTGTTTGATAACTGGTTCCTTAGATAAGACTGTGCGGGTTTCAAGTCCAACTGATCCACCGCAAAATTTAACGACATTAAATTGTGGTTACGGTGAAATTGCGGGTGTAAGTATTTTTTTTCACCAGGATTCTTTTAGAACCGAAATTTTTATTTTAATTTATATTCAAATTAAGATTATTAGTTAAAGTCTAAATTATTATTATTATTACAATTAATTTATTTAATAATTGTAATAGATACATATTCTGTATATTATATATTTTTATTTAGATGGATTACTCAAATGAGGTTCTTGCCGTTTCTGGAATCGAAGCTATCGAGATTTGGAGACCTAAACGAAAACCGGAAATTACTTTGTGATATTTTCTTTTATTTTAAACTAACGATTTTCGTTTAAAGATATAATATATACATATAATAGTGATAATTTATACACTGTTTATTATTATACTCGTTAGACTTTATGTTTCCAATTATAAGACTAATATATTTAATAAAAATTTTAATATAAAAACTGAAGATTTTTTAGTTATAGGAATTTTATTTATTTATTATTATAAAATCCCACAGTCCACTGGCACCATGTAATGATTTAATTCATGTAAATAAAACTAATCAACGCTAAAATAAAACAATGAATGACGATGTCGTGCGTTGGAAAATAAAATTAATTTTATATAATAAAATACTTGACACAATTTTGAAATAAATGCATTTTTCGATGAAAAAAAAAATCCAAATCAATATTAAACTATGATTATACTATTTTGTATATATGAAAAATAATCAAGATTTTTTCGTTTAGAGTTATAAACTTAAAAATTTCCCACCGACTGATTCACGTAGTCTGTGATAGTGGTGGCGCCACAAGCAAGCGGAAGTTACTGTCTGCTACACAATTACACATGTATAAGTATGTACTCGACAACCCGACTGCTGGCTGGAGCTTCATTTGTCATTTCGCCTTCCTCGCAACATTATATCAAGAATTTTTAACACAAATAAAAATAAAAAATTGTTTACTTAGATATTATTGATTTATCGTTTTTGATATGAAAAAGAAAATTCTGGTTTTTTTACTTTGAACTATAATTAAAAAGTGAAAAAGAAGCATTTTTTAATGCTCCCGGGTTATTGTGACAGTGGTTAAAGAAGTGTGCGTGGGGGATTTCCGTTTTGTTACTGCGTGCGGCGAGGTCAGAGAAGACTGGCTCAGCGTTCGTCGTCGTCGCTGGTGCTGCTGTGCTACTGCTGCTGCTTGTTGAAAAACACACGATGAAAATGGCGTGGACACCGCAAGAGGAAGGTCTTAGACAAATTTTGACGCTACTCAGAGAGTCTCAAAGTCCAAATACCGAGACTCAACGTGCTGTTCAGCAAGTATCCTTTTTTTATTATAAAAAAGCAATAAATTGGTGCGTGTTTATTGAATTTATTTTGGTGCGGAAAAACTTAGTGTGGTATGATGGGTTGGAGGAAAAATGAGAACGCGCGCGCGAATTGCATGTCAGGCTCGTTTGCGGGGCCAAGGGCGTGCTTCTATTGACAAAATTTTTCCTCACAACCCCTGGTTGTATATATAACTATCATCATTTTAGAAGCATTTTTTCTATTTTAAAAATGATTTCAGTTTATTTATCGTTGAGAAAATATTAAAATTATTTTCCATTTTATAACATACACAAAAACCACACCGTGAGTGCGATCGATGAATAGACATTCCTTTTTTTTTTCTTCTCTCATCGTCGTTGTCGTCGCATGCGAAACGACGAAATTCTCGGAAGTTCACAACGGTTTTGATTATAGTAAAGTCGCATATACACGTTTAGCCCACGTGTACTTTTCTTAAAATCGATCACTTTCGTTTAGTGTTAAGATTTTAATTTCACCATTTTCCAGTAGCATTTTCATCGGAAAGGGTTTTTTTTTTCTTTTCAAAAAATGTTTATCGACAAAGGCGCAACTTTTTGTCTATCTCTCTCTTTCTCGTTGCATTTTTTAACTGATAATAAATTTTTACTGTTCTTTGTCAAGTTTTATCTATATATATATATATATATATATATATGTATATACAGAAATTACAAACATTATTGATTGTTTTTGTTATGCAATTCATATATTAGGAGTCGCGAGCAATAAATTGTTGAATTTTACGTTAAATTCGTGAAATTTGACCATTTTTACCTTGCCCCCCTCCCAATTTTTTCCTTAACTTGCATTTTATTTAGAAACTCGAAGAGCTGAACAAATTTCCAGACTTCAACAGTTATCTTATATTTGTCTTGACGCAATTAAAGACTGAAGGTATTTATCGCATGTTTTTTACTTTTTTTAAAATAATTTTTTATTTTAATTAATATAAGTAATAGTAATAATTTATTTTTATACATGTATAATTTTTTTCCGTTATAGAAGAAATGCAATCACTTTTTGAAATTTTTATTGAGAAAATGTTGGATTTTCCGGTTTTTCTTTAAATTGTAATTTATTTATTTCAAATACAGAAATTATTGATTCGAATAAAATTTATTTAATTCAAATAAAAAATTATTTTGTTCAAGTAAATATTTATTTGATAATATTTAAGTAACCGATTATTTAAATAAAATATAAATTTTTTTTCATTGTGTTTTCCAAGTGGAAAATTATGACCGTAATAAAAAAATTTTTGGGAAAAATGTATTAATATCAAATTTGACCTATATTATTTAACGAAAGTTTTGATTAAAATAACAGACATTAATTGGAGCGAAAAAAATTCACAACTTTCTTATAATATATCGAAAGTTAATATTTGAAATAAATTTTGAATTTTTCTTTGTTCCAAAAAAATTTTTTTTAAATTGTAATTTAATATCTTTATCATTTTTTCAAAATAGATTTTTCTAAATTTCGATCAATTACATTTTTTTTATTTTTACAGCCTTTTTTAATATTAAATTTTTATTTATTTTGTCGTTTAAACAATATAATAAAAAATAAAGCATTAAAATTCTTTGTTTTTTAATAATAAAGAAATGACACAAAACTTTTATTCTTTTTCATTAAAAAAAAGAAATTCCAAATTTTTTTTACATATTCGACATTTAAAAATTATGTACTGAAAATTTTTATTTTGACATTGAAAAATTACATGTAAGTTTCTTAATTTGTGTTTAATTTAAAAAAAACGAAGTTTCATTTACAATATTAATTAATATTAAATATTTTAAAACTTATTTTTTTTTGAGAAACGAAAATCGTTATTTTTTGTTGCAAAGCTAATTGAATATTATTACTCTTTGAAAGATGAACCAACAAGATCTCTCAGTGGTTTAATATTAAAGAACAATGTGAAAGCGCATTACCACAAATTCCATCCGGAAGTGACAAGTTTTATAAAACAAGAATGTTTATCGGCCGTGGGAGATCCATCACCTTTAATTCGAGCCACTGTCGGTATTTTGATAACAACACTCGCATCAAAAGGTAACACAATTACATGTGTATATTTATTTGTAAATTTAACGAATGATCCGAATTTGAAAAATTGTTTTCTCTACTATATAGCAGAAAATTGTAATTTTTTTACTCACTAATAGCAAAAGTGTTTGTACTTTAAAAATGTAAATTATACTAAAAAGAAGGAATTTTCTTTGTGATTTTTAGGTGATCTAACATCATGGCCGGAATTACTTCCGGCATTGTGCACCATGCTTGATTCACCGGACTATAATGTTTGTGAGGGATCATTTGGAGCGCTTCAAAAAATTTGCGAGGACTCTGCCGAGATTCTTGATTCTGATGCATTAAATCGTCCACTTAATGTGTTAATCCCGAGGTTTTTGCAGTTCTTCCGACATAGTAGCGCAAAAATACGATCGCACGCAATCGCTTGTGTCAATCAATTTATTATTCATCGTGCCCAACCATTAATGATTCACATAGACAGTTTCATTGAAAATCTCTTCCATTTGGCGACTGATGATGATCCCGATGTTAGGAAAAATGTCTGCAGGTAATTTAGTTGTTTCGTTTTATCTAGTGATAAATTTGAATTTTGGTTAATTGTAAATTGACTTATTCTTTTTACAGAGCTCTTGTTATGTTATTGGAAGTGCGGATGGATCGTTTGATTCCCCATATGCACAGTATAATTGAATATATGTTGATGCGCACACAAGATCTTGATGAGAATGTTGCGCTCGAGGCTTGTGAATTTTGGCTTTCATTGGCAGAGCAGCCAATATGTAAAAGTGCCCTTGCACCACATTTAAATACATTGATACCAATACTTGTGAAGGGAATGAAATATTCGGAAATTGATATTATTCTATTGAAGGGCGATGTGGAGGAAGATGAAATGATACCCGACAAAGAAGAGGATATAAGACCACGTTTTCATAAATCAAAAACACATCATACACATCATGCGACAATGAATAAGCACAGTGATGAAAATGGTGGTTGTGGTGATGATAAATATTTGGATATGGAAGATGGTAGTGACGATGAATCAACACTTGAATGGAATTTAAGAAAATGTTCAGCGGCCGCTTTAGATATTATTGCAAGTGTATTTCGCGATGAATTATTACCAGTTTTGGTGCCAATTCTTAAAGAGACATTATTTCATCAAGAATGGGAAATTAAAGAATCGGGTATACTTGCACTTGGGGCAATTGCCGAGGGTTGTATGGTGGGAATGATGCAACACTTACCTGAATTAATACCCTATTTGATTGTTAGTTTGAGTGATAAAAAAGCGTTGGTACGTTCAATTACATGTTGGACATTGAGTCGTTATGCACATTGGGTATGTTCACAACCACACGATACATATTTAAAACCATTAATGACGGAATTATTGAAACGCATTCTTGATGGTAATAAACGTGTTCAAGAGGCTGCATGCTCTGCATTTGCAACTCTTGAGGAAGAAGCTTGCACTGAACTTGTTCCATATCTTGGTTTTATTCTTGAGACACTTGTTTTTGCCTTTAGCAAATATCAACATAAGAATTTGTTGATTCTTTATGATGCCATTGGAACGTTGGCCGATTCTGTTGGTTATCATTTAAATAAACCGGACTATATTAATTTGTTAATGCCACCATTGATCAATAAATGGAATGTCTTGAAAGACGAGGATAAGGATTTATTTCCATTGCTCGAGTGTCTTTCGTCCGTTGCCACGGCTTTACAATCGGGATTTTTACCTTATTGTGAACCAGTTTACAGGTGAGTGGAAAATTAGAAATGTTTATCTATTTGGTAAAAACCAATCACTCTTTGTTATATATCTGAAATTTTTGTTTTCAACAGTTGTTTCTTAAAACTATAACAAAGCTATTAAACTTTTTAATATAATAAAGGATTATTCTAAGGAAAACAATTTTTAAAGCAAAGTAAAATAAAAATTTTTAAATTTTTGACAATGAAACGATTCGAATTCTTATAGGAGATGCGTTTCACTTGTGGAGCAAACATTGAATCAACATATTGCAAATACACAGAGTCCTGAACAATTTGATGCGCCAGATAAAGATTTTATGATTGTTGCTTTGGATCTTTTGAGTGGTTTAGCGGAAGGATTGAATGGTCATATGGAACGTTTGGTTGTCAACAGTAATATTATGCAATTATTATATCAATGTATGCAAGATCCAATGCCTGAAGTTCGACAAAGTAGCTTTGCTCTATTGGGTGATCTTACTAAAGCTTGCTTCCAACATGTTTTACCATGTATTCGTGAGTATTCTACCAGTAAAGTACTCAGTAATTCCTTTTATTTTTTAAAGCATTGTTACCACTGTAACTTTTATTTATTGTTTTTTAATTCAATTATTTTGCTTTATTAAAAAATAACATTATTTCGTTTTTATTCAATTTTTGCAGCCGATTTCATGCCAATTCTTGGGCAAAATCTCAATCCAGAATTCATCTCTGTGTGCAATAATGCAACGTGGGCTATTGGAGAAATTTCTATAAAACTTGGTAATTAATTTCAATTTAATAAAATTCTGTTATTTTAAAAAATAATTTCTGAGGTACTAAATAAATTTATTTATTATTGTACTCAATGCTTTTTTTGTAAATAAAATTTATTTTTGTTATTTTATTTACAAAATTTGTTTCTTCTACAAAAATGCGTTTTATTGTAAATACATATAAGTCGTAAAATTTTTCTATTTGATAATTTCGTGTCTTAATCATTTAACAACATTTGTTTCTCAGGTCCAGATACAAGTGCATACATTCCGATTATTCTCAGTCAACTAATCGATATAATTAATCGTCAAAACACGCCAAAAACATTGCTAGAAAATACGGGTGAGTAAAAAAGAAAAAAAATATCCCAGAAATTTCGGTTAAGTATTATTTAAAAAAAAAAACTAATGACTAAATGTAAATTATTTTGTTGGAGAAATTTTTGTTTTTTGTTTCTTCTTTAGCACATTAAAGCGAAAATAAGTTTTTCGTAGAAAAGATGGAGTTCAGGTACAAATTTTTTTTTTTTTTTTTTTTTTCAAAGTTTACGATTTTAAACGTCCATTTTCGATGAATTCGAAAATTCAAAGAAAAAAAATCAAAAGACCCACAACGGCAGAATGAGAACATCAAAGTAGGAACTTCCATGACATCACTTGTTTAAAAAAAAATTTCTTCCTTTTAGTTAATTATTATTTTTTTCTTTTTTCAAGTCCCTCGCAGATCAACAGCTCAGAGTTTGGATTTTGTCTGTATACGTTTCTCATCATTAATATTTATAAATTAATCTTTATTTTCAGTAGTGTGCGATTGCCTGTGTGACAAAACAATCCATTTTTTGTTTTTAATTTTGCAAAACCATTCTTTTTTCATTTTTTTAAATGTAATTTTGTTAGCCATTTCACTGTAGTTTCTTATTTTTCATAATAGGGATTTAATGTTTTATGTATACATTTTTTTTTTACTATTAGTAAGAATTTTCTTTGTTTTTTAAAATATTGTTTCTGTTTGTATTAATTGTATTTTTTTTTACTTGGGAGTTGATGATAAATAATCATTTTGTTTTACTTCATGAATTGAAAGATCAATTTAAAAAATTTGTGTGAGTTGAAGAAAATATCAAAGACAAAAAATTGCTGAATTTTTAACTTAGATTTTGAAAAAAAAAAATTTCTAAAGAAAAAGATTCTTAAGCTGCTGCCCAATTTTTATTATTTCAGCGACTACAATATCCGGTATTTATGTTTATTGTTGATATTTAATATGTTTAATTGTATTTTCTATTGTCTATATTTGTCATATTCGTTATTATTAATATTATTTATTTTTTTAAGTTAGATGCAGCAGCAAAAAAGGCCATTTATTATCATTATTTTTATTATTATTATTGAATAGAATAATTTATTATGTATATTGATATATTTGCCTGAGTTGATCGTTGGTTCGCTATCAGTTTGTCTTATTGTTTGTGTTTCCGGTCACTTCACTACACTTCTTCACTTGCCTACCTTACTGAAAATGAAAAACTGAAAATGAAAAACTGAAAATGTAGCCATAACGATCGGTCGCCTAGGTTATGTGTGTCCCCACGACGTCGCCCCCATGTTACAGCAGTTTGTTCGACAGTGGTGTGTAAATTTATTTATTATTATTATTATCATTATTATTATATTATTATCTTCTATTTATTATCTTACTTATATTAATTCTGTCTTCATTTATTCTTAGTGCTTTTTCACCATTTTTTTTAGTTTAAAATTTTATTATATATATTTAAGTACATATATGTATATAATTATCTAATTTAAGGAGTTGAGTTGATTGTAATTATTATATACTTTTCTTAATTTTTCATTTAAATTTGCAATATGTTTCGTTCATAGTTATTATTTAATGATCAATTTGAGACCCGATCTTGTTTTCTTACAATTAACTTGAGATATTTAAAATTGATTTTTTTTTCAAACTTATTGCAATCCACTTAAACTCCAATATTTTTCAAGAGCTACTAATAATAATATGACCTCCTGTTTGATTACCGCTTTCGTTCTTTCATCTATAAAGTCTTTGCAGATTTATTTAAAAAAAAAGAAGAAAAAAAATTGAAAATCAGAGTAGGCAGGTTTATATACATAAAAAAAGTTTATTTGTGTTAATTTTATTTAATTATAAATTATTCATTTTCTAATATTTTTCGATTAAAAATCCAATTGTTAGATCAATTTTAAATGTAAACTTTATATTATTTAAAATGTAAAACCTATAAGGAAGATGCCTAAGTCGATTCGATCGTTCCCATAAGAATTTCATGAATCATTGCTTTTTTCTTTTTGTGCCTTGGAAATTACATGTGCTTCATTTTTTTTCTTCTACGAAACGGTATATATTTTTTATTTAAAATTTTTATAAATAGAACATAAAAAATGTTCTTGGGTCTAGGGCAATGACAAAAATCAAATTAACAAACTAACGGAAAATACGATGACAAAAAAAGATTAGAAAAAATGGATGTAGCTGAGAATCTAATGATTTTTATAAATAGTTTAAATGATCTTGAAGTCAATGAGAAAAAATTTATATATTACTAATGATGATAATAATTGTTGGGAGATTAATGAGATTTTGACTATTAGGTGTTCATCGTTGAGAAATATTCGAGACAATGAGGAGAAGGGTTCAGCATTCAGAGGCATGTGTCAGATGATAAATGTCAATCCAGCTGGTGTTGTCAATGATTTCATATTTTTCTGTGACGCTGTTGCTTCCTGGACGAATCCTTTTGAGGATCTTAAAGACATGTTTAGCAAGGTAATAATATTTTTCTTACTATTAATTTTTCTATAACTTTCCAAGATTCTATAAATGCTAAATTAATGTAAATATTTAAAAAGAAAATATTCATTTATGAAATGTATTTTAAATATTTATTATTTAATAGATTTTACATGGATTCAAACAACAAGTTGGCACTGAAAATTGGACTCGATTTTGCGAGCAATTCCCACCGCAGCTTCTTGAGCGGCTGCACAATGTATATGGCGTTTGAGCGGCCCCGCTTACTTACGGTAAGTGATAATTAAACAAAATAATTATTTATCCTTTTTCTATATTAAAATGTTCTGATTTTTTGAAATTTAAATTACGTAAATTATATGTGGAACGTTTGGAAAACTTAATATGCATCTTTTTGAGTTTTCATAATTTTTATTATGTTTTTTTCATTGTCAATATCTTAAAGTAAAGTTAATTTCCATTTATTTTAATTATATTATTTATTATAAATTTTATAGAAACAAATATTTGTATATTTAAATATGCAAACTATAAATATTAAAACAAGAATGGCAATTTTGGTTGTTGTTTGTATGGTAGAAATATTAAAATGTCGAATGAAAAGGAAAGTTTTGACTCAAGTAGTAAAAGTGAAAATTTGAAAAAAATGAATTGAAAAAAGGCGGAAAGATTATGAAATGTGATGATTGTAAAAGAGAATGCAGGAGATGTTGTCAAAGTATGAGTACTGGTAAAAGGGGAGAAAAATAGTTTAAACACGAAGGAATAAAGGTAAAAAGGTAGGTTATGATTAAACTCAAAAGATGAGTTGGGTTAAGATATAAAAAATGTTAATTATAAACAAAGCCAGTAATGGACAAAAGAAACTGGATACGAAACCTCAAGTCATGTAGAAATTAGATTGATAATTATATATTGCAGTTAATTTAGGTTAAGATTTTTATAAATGGATCCTTGAACCATATGCTTGTGCCAGAAAGAGTAAAATAGATATATTAATTTTTTTTAGTAATTAAAAAAAAGAATTAAGAAGAATATTAATTTTCAGACGGCCGCTTAATGGGGCAGGCTGGATGGGGTCGGGCGGGAAACAGTAAACTGGGTGGACAGGGTGGGTGGGTGAAACCACGGCCTCTTCTTCGAAACGTCGTCGTCGCCGCCGTTATCGCATCATGGCCACCGTCGACGTCGTCGTCAAAACAGTCTTCATCCCTGGGGGAAGCAGCTTTCATCTTAGTATGCGTTTTTAAATAAATTTAAAACAGAAAGAAAAAAAAGACACGAAAGCTGCAATAAATAAAAGAGATTTCATTTATCTCATAAACAAAAAGCAGGGAATTTAAGAGAAAAAATGCGACTAAATAAATGAAAACAAAAATAAAATACATAAGATTATAAAATATCATCATTGTGCTGGCCGAGAAGAAATGGGAGGGAAAAATAAGATTTAAAAACAAAAACTTATAAAAAATGCAATTGGGAGGGTGAAAAATGGGTGGGATATGTGGGTTTTTATTTCGAGTCGAAGAAATAAAAAAAATTTTTTTTTTATTTTTGTCGGAAACAAAAGAAAATTTTTTGTTTTTGTTTTTGTCTCAAACAAAAAAAAATTTTTTTTTAAAGGTATTGATTATTAAATGAAACATAAGAAAAACGACATGATACCTTGAATAAAGAAAAATCAAGCAGCGTAACGAATTAGAGAATAAATTTTTAACACTTTGTATTTAAGTGTTTCTTGCGAATCACAGAATATGTTTTATTTCTGTACTATATTATTAATATCGAGAGGAAAATTTCACGTCACGATAAATGACAAAGCATTATAGCATAGGCTGCTATCGTCTTTTTTTCTAAGACTAGATTTATTGTCTTAGAAAAAAAGTTATCAATTTTTGTAGATTTCACGTTGTTAGAATACAATAAGTCCCCCAGTGTTCGTATAATGAAATGACATTTTTTTGGTTATTATTAATCAATGGACAATTTTCTAATTTGTTTCTTTTTTAAATTTATTGTATTTTTTTTTTTGTTAAATTTTTTATTTTTTGTTAAACATTTAGAAAAAATTTGTAAAAGAATTTTTTTGTTTTATTTTTTAATCGACGTAAAATTATAATATTGACATGAATAGTCCATTTTTTTTGTTATTCATTTGGCTCAGTTCTTTTTGTTTTGTTTTTTTTAAGTATTTAAATAATTTTTGACTGAGAGAATAGTTTCTGATTAAGTAGTTTAAATGGAAAAAATCTTCTAGTTGCTAGAATATTTATATGTATATATACATATGAAAAAGGGTTTTCGTCATCAATGCAAGTATTTTTATAGATTAATCAAACAAAATGGTAAAAAAAATGGAAAAATAAAACAATAACCCATATTATAAACGCATGAAAGTGCCATTCCGTTCCAAAATTTTTCACTCCGCTTATTGTGATACTAGGTTACTTGTGATTCTGCTAATATTGTGTGATGAAATTTATTTCTCAAGTGTGCAAGAGAGGGACAAAGTTTTTTTTTCTTTTTTTTTTTAAACTTTGTAATCACTTTTTTTTAAACTTAAGTGTGCATTGAAAAAGTGCACAGAAATCTTATTAATTATTGCTAGTATAATTATTGATACTATAATTGTAAATAGGAAAGAGTAATAGATTTTTTTTTTCTTTTGTATTAGGACAATCGTTTTTTGTTGTACTAGATACATTAAAATTTTTAATTATCACACAAATACACACTCATGCATATACACACATTTATTTATTTATTAAATAATTATTAATTATTTGTCTTATTTTTGAAAACAAATGAAAAAATCAGTTATGAACTAGAGTTTATATATAAATAATAAATATTAGTTCTGAGCCAATAATTAATTATATATTTAAAAAAATTGAACGATAAAAAGTCACTGTATGTTGGCTTTTGTTTCTACCCACGTGAAATCTACAATAAGAATAACAAGAAAAATCTTATTTAATATCTTGAGATTTTTTCTTCGTTTGTATAATTAAAAAAGAAAAAGAAAAATTAAAGGAAACAAAATTTTTAAAAAATTTAATAAGTTACTGCAAAAATCAAAGCATCAAAAAAGATGAAAAAAAAGAAAAAAGTTTATTGAATATTTATCAGAAGTCTATTTTTCTTTTTTTCCTTTAGTTGAAAACAAAAAATAATTATCGACGATTATTTTGTATTTTTGATTCAAGGCGCGGATTGTTTCCTTTTTTTCTTTTTTTTATTTCCTTACATATAATATGTTTTGACTCTGATACGTAGAAAAAAACAAAAAAGAGCTCAACATTGAAAGAAAAAAAAAGTTTGGAATATTGTATTATTGTATAGCGTAATGGATGGTCAATCATTGAGAGTTGTGTAATAGAATGGAAAAATCATTTTCCAACAAGAAATATTGAAATAAATAATAAAGTCAGCCAGTGGAAATGACTAGCGCCCATCGAGTCAGACGCTCGACTATAGAAAAAAAAAACAAATTGAAAATGGTATTCGTTAATCTCGCCTTAATAATTTTTTATTTAATATATAAAAAAAAATTTAATTTAGAAAAAAGATTCTTATTTGAACAAAAATTAATGAATTATTTAATTATTATACATTATATTCATTTATTGATTAATTAACTATTAATCAATAATTTGTTAATTGAAGTATTAATAATTAATCATTTGTTAGTCTAATTAATTAATCCATTAATTATTAACTAACTATTACTTATTAATTAATTAATAGTAACAATAATAATTAAAGAAAAATCAAATTTTTACTTGAATTTTTAAAAGAATCATTAAAAATTCCCCGTTTGTATTTTTTCTAAACTGAAAAAAGAAAATTGAAATTCTTTGTGAAATACGTGAAAAAAAATTCATTTTGTGTATTTTTTTATACTTTAAACATTTTTCCATAATTTTTTACTTTTTCCAATTATTAGCTAATTTTTTATATTTCTTTTACAATTTCTAGTTTTTCAAATTTTTAAGTCAAACAAATATTTTTCAGGTTTTCCTATTTTTTTTATCTCACGTTTTATAACTTTTCGTTTTTTTGAAATATTTAATTTATGTAAAAAAAAGAAAAGAAACGTATTTTGCATGCTATTTTTCTTTATATTTTTAAGTAAAATTTTTGGTATGTTATTTTCATTTTTTTCTTCTATTTTTAATTATTTCAAATTTAATAGAGAATAATAATAAATTTAAATTTTCGAAATCAAAAAAAATTTTAATTAATGAAATTATTAACCATTATTTTTTAACTTTTCAAAATTTATTCAATTTTTTACATCTTTTGTCATTTTTTTATTTAAAAAATCTTACAAATTGTTTTTCCAGAATTTTTAATGATTTAAGAAATTGGAAATTAAAAAAAAAATCAAATGCTCATTTTTTTCTCTTTACTTTTTTGTGACGAGATTTTTTATGTACCATTTTCTCTTGCGTCGCGCAAGAGCGAGAAAGACTTCGGGACAGATAAAGAGACAAAACAAAAAAAAAAGAAGACGATAATGATGATTGGATGATTGTGAGTGTGAATGATGAATAATTAATATGCGTATATATGTCTTATATGCAAAATCGTGTCCGCTCCCGACTTAATCCAACGTATTTTTGATCAATATTTTTTAATAATATTGTCGAAAAATCCCAATTTGGTCCTTTCCCTTGCTCTGCCTGCGCTAATTTTTGTGATATTACTGTCTTTATAAATATTATAAACGTGAAATGAGAAAAAAACCACACACACAAAGAAAAAAAGGGGATTTTTTTCCATCGGTTCGAAAACCAAAAAGAAAAAGTAAAACATAAGCCACATGTTTCCAATATTTTTTCTCGCGCGTCGTGATTAATAATGTAGCTTGCTGAACAAAAAAAACAAAAAATTGAGAATGATAAGTGTCCGTTTTAAAGACTTTTTTTTTAACAATTAAGAGAATTTAACTTCTAGTCGTTTAATCAACAATAATAATGATAGTGTTAATTAATTTTGGCTAGTGAAATCAATTTTTTTTCCTAACACACAAATGGGGTACAAGTTTTTTGAGGGAGAAAAGATATTTTGTGAGAGAAAAATAAATTGTAAAATAATTTTTTTATATTTTTTTCAACGTTTATCCTCTTATCTTACTAATATTGCATTTAATATATAGATAAATGTTGAGTTATTTTTAGTTTTCATTGTTTTCATCTAGTTTCTTTTTTTTTTTTTTTTTAATTTTATTATTCAACTGAAAACATTCTCCGAGATAAAAAAAAAAGCTTGCGGCATTATTATCGTGCGACAATTTTAGTGAAATTCTTAGTTTAATGTGATTTCGTTTTATTTTTTTTGTATTTTTAAATATTTTCTTTTTTCTATTGTTGTTACTTTTCCTGTTTATTTTCTTTTTCTCTTTCTTTTTTTGTATCTTATTGTTTATTTATTAATTTTTTTCTCTTATTTTATTCTTATTTTTGATATTACTACTTTGTGTATATATGTATTTTTTGTTTCATTATTTATTAGTTTTTCTTTATTTCAATTTTTTAATTTCTTTTTTTTCCTCTTTTGTTTTATCTTGAACGTTCGATTCGATTTTATTAGTTTTTATCTTTTCAAATACATAATGTATATAAAAAATTAGACTCATATAACAAAATAGAATTGTTGTACATTATATAAGATGATTTATTTATTTATTTTTTTTTTTTAAGTAGAAACACGCGCGAAGAAAAATGCGCATTTGTGATAATAATTGATTACATCGAGTTTGTATTATATTATATACTTTGAATAGTTCCTAAGTGTCACGATGTAATAATGCTTTTCAGTGTTTTTTCCATATACGCGTATAATATTTGTATTTGAATATATAATCTCGAATTTATATATAAATATAAATATAAATATATATATATATATAAATTCGGTAATAAAACAATGGATTCGAACACATATATAAATTTTTTTTAGAAATTCCATTCGTATTTTCATACCGTGTGTACTATTGTAAATAATAATAATAATAATATTGTAATGAGAGGAGCGTTTATACTTGCTGAGACAAAAAAAAACAAAATCATTTGGAACATGTGGCTTTCGTTTTAATACGACCGAAACATTTTTTTAGTAAAAAAAAATTAGTCATCCATTTTACCAAAAAAACGAGAATTCGACAAATATTTTTTTTTTACTTGAAAATTCCAATTTTTCTATTTGCACGTGAATACATATTATATGGTTAAAAAATATGTATGTATAGAATAATAAATATAACGATGTAAACATAATCGGAGTGCATGGGGATTTAAAAAAGCGGATAGATTCCGTAGAAATGAAAAAATACTAAAGAGGGGTTGAATTTTTATTAATAAATTATGTGATTAATGAAAAGGGAGAAAATGAAAAGAAAAAACAAAGAATAATAGAGAAAGAGAAACACACGAGTAAATATATTGTTGTAACTTTATTATTATTATTATTATTATTATTATTATTATTAATATTGTTGTTGTTGTTGCATGAGACTAGCTTAATAGAGTGGTTGAGAAAGAAAAAAAAGTATGAACTATTAACATTTAATAATTCTTAATTACTGCTACATTGTACAATTATTACATACAGTGTGTATTCTATTTATAATGGTAACATTTTCGTGCGCAGGCAGCGTATAGGGAGTGGGTTCCTTCTTTCCTTTGGGAAAAAATTTATCTTCTTTATTCTATTCATTTTTATTTTTTTAAAGATTTTTTTCTTCTGTTCTTCTTTAGATAGATAGGTAGATTATATAAATATTTATTGAGAAAAAGTGGAGAATTCTTTTTAGAGAAAATCAAAGTATAGAAGAAAATCTACTACTAGTCGGTGGACCAAGAACATTTTTTTTTTTTTTTGTATTTTATGGAGACTTTTTTTATTAAATATATGTTTCAAAGTCTATGATTAAAATGACGACATAGAATATTGACGAGACTTGTGTATAGTGTTTAGAAAAAAAATTTAGTTCTCATATATAGAGGTCCATATGATATAAACTGCTCAAAGCTTCTCAAAGGGTTGGAACTCATATTAAAATAGGGGCTGTTCCTTGTACCTGATTATCCTATCCTTGCGGGCACATTTTGATTTTCTCCAAATGTAAGTGAAAAAAAATGAAAATTTCTTACATCTTTCTATTTAACCGATAACTGTTTCTCTCTTGCTGCTCATTAAGCGCAAGACCATTACACTGGCCAGAGTTTACAACACAGTCGATATATTTATGGTCTTTGATTGTCATATACCTATACCGTCTTCTTTCTTGGCAATAAATTGTCTGCAACTGTCTTCTTTTTCAGATAAAATCATGATTTTTCTCAACAAGAAAGAAATAGACAATATTGTTTGAATTTAAAAAACGACATTTTTTCATTAAAAATTTTTGGTATTACTAAGCAAATAAAAAAAATTAACCACCAGAAGATTCAAACCCCAGACATATTCCAAGGGAAAGTCAAGTTTTTTTTTATTTATTTATCAAAGTACAATATTAGAAATCTAGATATTATGAACAAGGGAGAAGTCAAGTAACCTTCCAAATGAGCCATAATCGCTTGTAGTCTGTTATAACAACTGAAAATTTCCAAATTACATTTTCTCAAAAACACTTGCATATAATGGATTTTAATATTTTTAACTTGCTCAGTGATATCAAGAATTTAAAATTTTAACAAAATCGGATATGATACACTTTGGTGCGTTCAACTTGTTAGCAATTTAATTTTGTTTAAATTTATTTCTTAGTGCTAATTTGTTTTTTCATTATTAACACTGAGAAAATGATTTATTTTTTTTTGTTAAATTCCCTTTTTCTTTTTGTTTTCATAAATAAATTCGTTTAATATAATTTAATTTGAATTTGTTTCAGTAATATTTTGAATATGAAAAAAATTTTATTGAATAACTTTTCTTAGATAAATTATATATGTGGTATATTTAAAAATATCTATATAAACTGTTCATTTTATTAACAAATTGAATTATTAAAGAAAATAGTCTCATTTTTGTTATGGAAATAATAAATGACTTAAATTTACTTGTAAGAGGAAAAATAAGGAAAAATAATATTCAAAAGTAAATTTATTTCATTTTTTTTAAATGTTTAATCTAATAATCTTTTCTCAGGGTTTGTTTAATTCTTTATTATTTAAATTAATTAGAGATAATGTAGTGATTTCAGTATTTAATGAGGTATTAGGAAAAAAATATATAGAACTTATATTGATTGACAAAAAAGCGACTTTTTTTATGTTATATGTTTATTTTGAAATTTTTTTATCAAATTGTATTATCAATACTCCGTCTTAAAATTATGCATCATTCCTCTGAAAGTATAATTTTTAATGTTCTCGGTTTAAAAAAATAATAAATTTTAAAGAATTTCATAAGTCTTTTCCAAATTTTGAATCCTTGAACTTTTTTTGAATTTACTTTTTCGTATTTTTATTTTATTGTTACATTCTCATTTTTTTTCTTTTGCAGCGGTTTTTTTACAGCTGAGGAATATTTTTTTCTTTACTTTATTTAAAAGATTTCCAAACAGGTGCGACAGAATGGTTAAGTTTTTATTCACAGTGAAGAAAAAGTGTATTTATTTGTAGAGCACTCAGTTCTTTTTTTGCAGGGACGATAAAATGAAGTCGATTATCAACATGACTGTGGATTGGGACGATATAGTCTCGCAAGAGGGTTTTTCGGATGGCATTTCGATTTTTCAGAGTAGGATATAAAACGTTTCTAACATCTAAGCGTATTCCTCAACACGAGTGAACGAGCTGGCTTAAGTGATTGCTTCTCTTCATTAAGGATACACTATCGAGTTGAAGCTCGAACTTGAGGGACAGGTGCGGTAATGGCCCGTATCCTTGAACCCTTGAACACCCCCTATAAGCGTATAGAGCTATATAGAAGTGGATTTAACAACCCCCCTCTTAAACGAAAATCCCATTCCCCTCAACACTATTACGTGAATTGATTCGGGAGGAGTGTCGTTAGCTCCTCATTTTCTTTATTCTTTTTCAATTCCTTTTCAATAAATATGTTTCTTTTTGGATTTTTCCAATTCCTCGCCAAGTTTTTCTTTCTCGGAAAAAAGTCAGTTAAGTCTTAATCTTTCAATTGATTGGAAATAAATTCAATAGAATTAGTATATTTATTATTTATCAATGTAAGTATTTTTTTTTGCTCAAGTTACAGGAGTATTCTACAAATACAGCGGCAATCCTGCAACCTGACTATTTTTCAGAATTTTTCCCCCTTCTCAAATTCGCAACCTGACTAGCTTCCCCCACCACTAGATACCAGAGATTTCAGGGCTGTACACTTTGACTATACATAGATCATGGGGAGTAATTTTCTCTATAATATTATTATGAATATGACAATTTATTTCGTTGCGTTGTAATATAGCAGTTACATTGTAATCCATATATAATTAATCATAACAATGTTAATGAATATTCATTATATCAGATTGATAAAAAATTAAAACAATATCTATATTCTCCAAAATGCAAATACATGAACAAATAATTGTAACGTTCACAAAATGTACAATATTATATACAATTATATACAGCACTGTTCGTGTACGAGAACTGACACTCTTATTAGTCAGGTTGCGAGAATACGAAATGGTCAAGTTGCGAATTATACAGGTTGCGGGGATTGCCTGTAATTCTTTTCGTATTTAAACTGAGTGAGCATTCAAGTCAACACGCAACTTGTGTGTCATGCAGTTTATGCCTTTTAATTTTTTAAAATTAATTTTTTACTCTTGAAATTTAATATTTTTTAAGTAAAAAAATATTTACGGAACTTTTTTTTAGACTAAAAATAAAGATGAGTTATTTTTTTAAACTTTTGTAAAAGAAACTTGAACAATTTATTTGTCGACTGGGAAAATTATATTTCTTTACGTATTATTATAAACGCATCAATGTTCTTATTTGAATTTTATTCAGTACAATATACGCGATTGGTATTTTTTTCCTTGCGTGATACGGCGGCCCTCTATAACTGATTTGGTTCAAGGGGCAAGTTCAAACCTCTGAATTTTCTCTCTCTCCATCCTTTAATCTAATCCGAGGATAATCTAAAATTCATGACACACATAACTGCCAGGCGATGATATATCTGGCGGGGAGTAAAGGCTCCAGTTTCCACCCCTAAATACATGGGTCTTTGCATGTGTTGCTCCTGAGCGGCAATCACCACGTTATTATTTAATGGGACGCGGCTCAATTCGCGCAACAACCATGGCTTACATCACATCTTGCTTTCCTCGCACTAATTCAATTTATGTTCCTTATTATTAAAATATTTCTTTCTGAACCTTGAAAATGATACATTTTTTTTAATTGAGTGAAAATGATATTTTTCTATATTTTACAATTTGTGGATATTTAATGAAAGATGTAGGATTAATAATAATAATAATGAGATTTTGTGGGGTGCGTTACGTTGACAAGTCGGTTTGTGATAATTGATGATAGTTGCCGGTTTTCGCGGGATATTATATTACAGTTACCAGTAGCAGTGGGTGATTCAATTCTCATTTCTCCCTCTATAGTAACAATAAGTTTTCGTTTCAATGCGCATAAACGATTGTCGAGTTCATTGCTTGAAAGGGGGAAGAAGAAAAAGGAGAGGTGTGGTATATACGAAAGGGACTTGAATGCTTCCTTTCACCCCTAAAATAAGAACCTCCGTGGAACAAACGACGGCCAATTTGTGCGCAATAGAAAAACTTGTTAAAACTCAGATTAAAATGAGCAGAGGAATTACTGTCCCCTTTCTTTCGACTTTAAAAATTATCGCCCGAAAAGTTTATTTCCTCGTTTTATCACCCGACACTTTTAGCAATTTTCGACTCTATTATATGGGTATAAAGTTGTAAATATTCGCTTGTACGAAATTGCAGATTTATGCTTATTGTATTTTTTAATAGTAAACTTAATTCCAACTACTGAAGGTCAATAATTAAAAATTTATACTCTCTTTCTTTTGTATAAAAGTTATAGCTTTAATAATTCGTTAATAAAATACAAACTAACTATAAAAACCTTGTGTCAGTAGCGGGATGAGTAAAACATTAAATTTCAAGTTTATCAAAGTTATACTGATGAAGATTTGGTTTTGATTTCCTCAATGACATATATATATGAAATGCAGAAAACGGGATACAGTACATATAAGTAATTCGAGGCGTAAATTAATGCCTGATCCTGTAGGTAAACGCGGATGGGACAATAACGGTTCCCCGAGGAATAGTGCGGAGGATGACGATATAACGCGATTACGGACGGTTCGCTACTTGATTTATCCACGCGGCATCACGTTATTGCATTAGCGCCCCAAAGCCAAGCGTCGCTTTCTAGACCATCGCATCGTTTCTGCCACCCTTTTTCGTGCTTCGTCCAGTTTCCCAACCATCTCCTAAATCATCCCCAAGAATAATGTCTTGAATGGACAAGATAACTCTCTCTTTCTACCAGATTGGCAAATAACCAAATGCTTTTATACTATTTTCATGTTTTTTTTATTTACACATCTTATAGAAAAACAGAATAACCGAAGGTTTCGTTTTTTAAAGAATGTAAACCGACATCTCCAAATAATTAATATTTATATCCGTTTCTAATTTCTACAATTATGTAATATATATTACATCTTATCCTTTTTACACATTAAATAATTAAACTTTGTACTTCTCTAAAATACATGAAGAAGTTTTGAACGCTCCAAAAGGGAGGAAAAGGAAGCTTTGTTTTTAATCATGTATTGGACTGAAATTGAACGTTAATTATGATAAATGTAGTAGAAACACTGTTATAAAACAATTGATATAATATTGAAACTAAAGATATTGTCTACCTGATGGAGCGTTCACTGACAATGTGGTGGAATAAATTTGTTTTCTTTTAATTTGTTATACCTTACGCGGGCCTGTCCAATCCGAGAGCCTCCTGATGTCGTCTCGCTTTAAGTCTCAATTCGGCGATACTGCTGCTCTTAGAGCGCGCTGCAGCAGCGGCCAAAGATGCTGCGAGACTCAAATGATGAGGGTGTGGGTGCGTTGGTGGTGGAAGGCAGAAGAGTCCTCCTGCAGCTGCATAATGAAGAACTGCAGGATCAAAAGCAGATCCTGCAGTCACTGAAACCGTTGTGTTTGTGCCACTTTGTTGCATTGGAGGATGCAATCTTAATGCTGGCAAATAAGGAGCCACTCTACAAGGTTCCAAAGCCGTCGGCGGACTCCTTGGTGCCAAAACCATTCCACTCGAAACTCCTATACCACAAATCAATTTTCTTCATTCATTATTAACATTCTTTCTAAATTTAACCATGCTCATTACAAATCTAAATTTAGATTCTAGAATAATTAAAAATGACGTGTACCAATTTTTCAAAATTTGATCGAATTTGTTTTTTCAGCAGTATTCATTTTATGTATAGGAAAACAATTCACGCGATCATGTATTTTGCTAGTATTTTAATAATTAAAAAAATTACCTTTGTGCAACTGACTCTCGTGCTTTCGGCACTTTGCACGTCGATTTTGAAACCAAACTTGAACACGAGCTTCACTTAATCCTAATCGTTGGCTCAATTCTTCCCTCATAAAGGCATCAGGATAATGAGTTTCGTCAAAAAGTCTCTCCAATTCAGCCAATTGCTCCAAAGTGAAATTTGTCCTCGATCTTCTTTGTTTTCCGTTTCCTGTCCCACTTCCTCGACAATTGACACCTGTATTAGTGGCAGAATTTTAAAGATTTAGTCTTTTTAAGTCCATGTAAAATTGCGGAATTACTTTAGAAGAACTATCATATCCTTTTCTTATTCACAGATCATTTCTTTTTATGATATCCACGCGATCATTAAGACTTTTATATCCCGAAAGACTTTTGTTATTCAAGTTCAGAATCTCCCATGATTAGGTGACATTAGTGAAAATAAATCTGGTAAATCGTAAATTTATGCTCCCTCTTTTAGTCCCGTCAATTTATTTCCTTTTAATATCATTTCATCGCGTGTGAATTAGATAAATTAATGTTTTTTATTATATATTATTTATGTAAAAAAGAATTAACATATTTTGTTAAATTTAAAGATATGTATATAAGATCTTATGTGGAAAAAAAGTCAAGTCGCACTTGAAAAGACATTTGTGCTCACATAAACTTTGGGTGATTAAAGTGAAGATGAGAGAGGGTGGATAAGAGGGGGGCTTCTCGACTAACACTGTATAACTTCCCTTGTATCTCGCCACTTTGCTAAATTATATAAATCACGATCCCTTCTCGTCAAGGGTGCTTACCAAGGGGCTTAATGCGTCCCTTCTTTGTCACTCTTAGACCCATATTTTCCTTTCAAAATCTTATGAAAGAGTTGACCCTGTCACCGCAGTCATTTTACTTTACATTAAACTTTATATAATTACTTTATAATTATACTAAAGTGACTTTTTGCCCTGTAGTCAAATTTTGCTCTTTGTGTAATGAAAATTACCCCTATTTTCTTATATTTTTCTCGAGATATAATTTTTTTTTCAATTTTTTGCTTAAGTATCTGTAAGTTTTTATGTAATGTTTATCTAATATAAGAATGAAATTAATTTTAAGAAAATTTTAGAAAAAGGAATGGAAATTGTAATTGAATTTGAAATAATTAATTAGAATAACAGTTGAGTAACAAAGTTCTCGAATCTGTCAAATTTCATCGAGAAACAAATTAGAGAAAGGAGACACATTTACATAATGTACTGAGCTTTAATCAATTAGTGCATACCTGGGTAATTCAATCTGTATCTGCCTGAATCTACACCCTTCCCCCCTCTCCTCGCCGCCACATCCATATGTACGGCGGTTAAAAACGCCCCCTTTGGAAAATAAAGCGTGGTTTCAAATACCTCCCCTTTAGTATAATTCCAACCCCTGTTTTGATACAGTTTCTCGATTGCGAGATTTTATAGCCCCTCTCCCCCCCCCCTTAATACACACTACTTCATTTTACCCCTTTAACATATTCCATTGTACACTGTTTGGTGTCCAACTGGGTTTCATTGGATATTCGCTCTCGTCGATTACGTGTAAAATTGCGCGCACGCAACAATTGTAGCCGCACTCGCACCGACGGCGAAAATATCTTCTCATTTCATCTATATACGAAAACACCCCTATAGCAATCACACTTGTACCCAAGGGGTCATAGTAATTCGATTACATACATCTTGTGTGTGTGTGTGTGTGTTCTTTCAACCCTTAGTTTTTCTTCTCTCTCTCTCTCTCTCTCTCTCTCTCTCTCTCTCTCTCTCTCTCTCTCTCTCTTTCTTATGTCTAAATTTTATAACTTTGCTGACTTTAAAAAATCTATCGAATTTTCTTGACATTTGTTGAGCGCAGATTATATTGAGATTTTTAGTTTTTAATCTAAAGTCAGATTTGGCCAATATGTAAAACAACAGGTTTCAAAATATGTTCAGAAACCTTAATCTGACCATTACCCATAGTGGTATATTTGATAAGCTTGAGTACTAATTTTGTATTATGTTTTTCATAGAAAATGCACCATATGCTGCGGACTAATATAATGATTATAAATGTATACGTGTCACGACTTTTTAAAATGCCTCATTACGCTGGTATGGAATTAAAGTCAGATTTTCAAAATTTATAATGATGGACGTTTTTTTAAATTTATCCACCAAACTTGGATCTACCATTGTGAATTTTTAAAATCTATATACATAATAAAAATATTTTCCACTTTTGTTTTTAAATATAGCTTATAACTTAAATAAGGAAGATTTTCATCTACTCAAATTCTCTTCGTGATATTATATACATATATTGTTGAAGTGAAAAAGTTTGTTTTAGTACACATGACTAGTTTTCGTATATATCTATTGCGCACCCTGAGCATTATATTTCAAAAATTTAGCTCTGCCACCATAAATATAAGAGCGTGACTCTTGACCGAGGGTCAGACCCGGAGAAATTCTCTCGTATAACACTTTATTCAAACTTACCAGACGCACTCACATGCGCTTTATCTGTAATCCTGTTATAAGCATTATTTTCTTTATTCAAAAATTAATTCTCCCTAAATTTTACTATTTTTTATAAATTTTCTTTCCTTAAAATTCTATTTCATACATTTCGGAAAGTAATAATACACACAGTAAAAATATAAATTTCGAATTTTATTAAATTAAATTATTAGCTGTACAAAATAAATGAATAAAAGATAAATATTTAATTTAAAAGGGAGGGGGTTGATTTAGCAAGACTTGTGAAATGAAATCAAATTGAAAAATCCGTTCCTGCGCCCCGGAATCCGTCGGACGTAAATTCGTAAGATCCAAGAGAGAGAGAGAGAGAGAAGCAAAGTGTTTCGACCGGTCTGATGTACTGCGGTACTTGCCTGGACTTTACTTTTTACAGAAAGAGAGAAAGATAAAAAGAGAGCATCAGCTAAGTTCGAAGATGTATTTATTATTTTACTTTTACTCTCTCTCCCCCCTCCTCTGTGGCAATGTCTGGCTTGAAAGGATGCTGGCGGTAGATTGCTTTTTGATTTGCGCTTAATCGGGAAAAGTTATGGACCCCCTCGAGATGACGTTCGCCGTCGCATTTTAGAGGGCGTATACACACAAATGCGGAACGTGCGCAGCAACAACTGCATATTAAACCATAAATTCATATAAATTTCACCTCATAGTTTATCTATAGGTATCTGCCCAGTCCCACTTAATGGTCGGGGAAAAAAATTAATTTTTTCTCTTCCTCTTTCAACCAGTGTCTATTAATCAGTTTTAGTAATATAATTTTACCATATATATTTTAGAAAATATGTTAATTAATATTTTCTACAAATTTAATTATACATAGGGGAGATGTATGCAAGTTGAGACAGTTGATATTTTAGTAAATTTTTTATTTAAAAAAAAATTACTACTTTCTTAGGCAAAGTTGAAGCCCTGGACAATTCAGTTGTTAAATTTAACGTGATAAAAAATTACCATTTTCAACATAATATAATAAATGTCGCAGGTCAAAAAACAAAAGACGCTGGATTAAATTTCTAGTTGGCTAACAAATATTTACTTTTTCAATAATTTTTTATTATTAATTTTTCACTGTGAATGGATTGTTTTTCGTCAAAATGGAAATTTTAACATGCATTTGAGGTGTAAGCTGTCTTCTTTGTAAGATTAGTTAACTTTTGTTAAAATTTGATAAGGTATAATAATCTTATTTCAAGATTGGTTTATTAAAAACTAAAAATAATGTGCGTTATTATTACAAGGATAAAAATAGGGAAATGTCGAAAATATGAAAGAAATAATACAATGTGACTGAATATCAGGGGGGAGAGAATATACGTGGTTTGATTCTATTCGACATTGGAAAAATTTCACCTGACAAGAATGATGCCTATTATAGAAAGTGGTGTGGCATGTGACTAAAACGAAAGGTCGACGATCGTTACACCGCAAACGATCCGCTTAGTCCCAATCACTTCTGAGCTTTATTGGTCAAGCTTCTGAATTATAGATTGAAATTGAACCCTCGGCGATGCTTTGCCGCGTACGTATGTGGATATAGAATTCCTGACCTTTACATCCGCAATATATATACTTTTCTGATGGTTTTCAATATAAATAGAAATCAATTCATTACAACTACATTTTCCAGCAACTATAAGAATTTCGCTGTCTACTACGTACTACAACAATTATAAATTATTTGAGCGTAACTTTTTAATCTACATTTGTTAACTTCAATTTTATTTTCTTTAGTTATTAGTTAGGAAAATTATTATTATGAATTAGTTGAGTATAAAAATAGACATAAAATTTCAATATATAGAATGAAATTGTATTCTTAAAATAAGAGTACTTTTTTATTTTAAGAATATTATAATATTCGAATAGTATGCATGGAAGATATTCTTGAATAAAGGGTAAAATTATATCCTCAAATTTAAAATGTTTTTTCGGTGTATTTTCCTATAGTAAATTTAAAAAAACAATCGCCTTACTAATTGCTTATTTGAAATTTAAGATTGCATTTATAGAAAGCAAGCCTAAAGACAAAATACTCTTCCCCCCTCCAAAAATTAAGCCATATAGAGAACTGAAATTCGGCACAAATGTGTAAATAGCTAACCTAATTAAATTTTATTTTAATAATAATAATAAAAATGTTCACCTTTCGTAGTATCGTCGTGCACTCCAAATGGCCTCGTGAATTGCGAAGAAACTTTTGCCTCAACACTTGTATTTTTGCCGTCCGTCGGCAAATGATTGGTTTTAAAATCGTTTTCCGATTTGGGCGAAAGTTCTCTACTCGTGATTGGTGGCGGTGGCGATGGACTACAGCCAAGTAATTTTCTCACTGATAGTTTTAATTCCGGTGTTTTTAAAGGTAAAATTTCCGTACTATTATTTTCCTTTGTTTTCGTCGTATTCACTGACAAGTCTTCCGGTATGAGACGCGTTTCGGGTGATAACGGTTCTTTTACATCGTTGACATCCTCAATGACGACTTTAGTTACTTCCTCAACGGAATCTGCCATTGTCTTCCCATCTGAGAAATTGAAATTTATTTTTGTTTTTCAAATCATTTCGAGGGGGTGGAGAGATTTGATAAATATTTTTTGTTTTTTGTTCGCGGCAGTAGAATATGCATTCATTGGTCAGACACAATATTATATATGTGATGGACGACAGTTACATTGACTTTCTCTACTTGGGCTGACGCAATGTTACGTGTACTTCACTTGAAAGTTCTATGTATGTCTAATTTAATACTCGATTAACTAAAAATTTAGGATTTCAATAATAATTTCATAAGAATTTAACAATTTAATAGTGATCTTAAATATTTAACGTCCCTCAGTCAATATGTTTAATGATTTTAATTTTTTATTTAATTAGTTTTTTAACACTTAAAAAGTAAAAAAAATTGTTTATAATTATTTACATTTTTTCATGATTAATAAAATTTATTATTTGGTAATAATATTATGACAGTTTTCTAATTTCAAAAATTTATTACATTATATAATATAATTATTTATAAAGAAGCCGTAGTGAAGAATTGTTTATATAGTACCTAACAACAAAAATATGTTTTTTACATGGTATGAATCCTGACGCTGCTGTTTAATTTTTGAATAAGATTATAATTAAATTAAATTACATATTCATGCGGCTCTTAAAACATTTAATAAACAAATAATATTTATCTATTTGGATCCGTTGACAAGAGTTTTGAGAAAAAAATAGAATGTTAACGGCGGCACGCTTTCTTTAATTCCGTTGGGAAACCTACGGTGTTTGGTAGGTTCCTCCTCGTCATTTGAAGGTGCAAGGAGATGTGCAACACTCAAAGTTATGGTGGTAGCAGCGGGTGCATCGCGGCACTTCCGGTCTCGAGTTGCCGCGTTATCGTCAAAACTTTTGGAAACAAACTGTGCGAGTTGTTCCATTCTGTGAAGGTGGAAGGCACTCGCGGTGGCAACGACGACGATCCGTCGGCCGGTGACTCTCGGTTGCATTCGCGGGGACGACGTCCAATGTTTCAGTTGCAGGTAGTGGGTTGATTATCGTGGCGCCTCGCGTGGCGGGTCAGCAGCCATTTAAACGGCGACCAATCGTTGAACATGGAAGGCGTTACCGTGCCACCCCGAAAATTCGATCGTCTACGCCTTGCGCCCCTGGAGACACAACGATATCTCATTAGCATCTCGGCTATTTCCAACCCCTCACGTGAAAACACCCTTTCCGGTTGGTTCTCCCCTATTCTGTATACTTTGAGCCAACGACGTCGACGCGCCGAAGCCTCAAAATCTCCCGTTGTCGTTATATATGTTTTTACCTTTGAGTACACAGCACGCGAAAACGGTAATGTAGTCATCCACCTACATGCACGTATGCCTATGGATTTTGAACGCAAACCCATAAACCTTCCTCTCAGGGGGTTGTTTGTGTCACTTTACTGGAAAAATTACCTGGATCAACTTGGTTTTAGTGGTTTTCAGCAAACCAAAAGCAGGGTCACATACAACTTTTCAGGAAATGACAAATATTTTTATTAATTAACGATTCAAAATCTTCTCTTTGTCATTTTATTATTATATTCAAGCAATCAATTCCATATATTTTCTTCGGGCGCCATTTCGTCGAATGCCAACCCTCTTAAACGCAGCAGTAAAAAGTATTTTTTTTTAAGATGTTTGGAAAATTATAAACAAAACAAGAGTAAATAACTGGTAAGAATTAATTACAATTAGAAAATACATTTTAAATTCATAGTTTAAATTTGCGAATCGTCTAGAAAATTAAAGTTGTGCGAACGCTGATATGCGCACTTTATTTTTTTATCAATTATTATATAATTACACTAATTACTTACAAATATTTATGTAATCAATTAATATAACACAAATTATTCAGAATTTTACGCAATGCATGCAACACGAAATCTTGAAGGAACATTTAGAGCCATAAAATGTAATATTCATGAACTTCGTAATCTGCGGTATTATACAGCAGTTCGAAAACGTGTTTCGCGGAGTAGGTACAATATCATTTTCCTCTTTGAAAGACAATAAAATAAATTATAACGTCTATAATAATTGTTTTTTTTATTTCACTCTCTAAATCTGAATAAGTGAAATTTCACTTAAAATGTGTCAAAAGTCTTCCACGTAGAAAAATAAGTGCATATGCACTTAAAAATAAGTGAAACTTCACTTATTTTTGAGTGAAAACCACTTATTCAAAAGTGCATATACACTTATTTTTCTACGTGGAAGACTTTTGACACATTTTTAGTGAAATTTCACTTATTCAGATTTAGAGAGCAGATGATAAAAAAATTGTAACATGAACTATTTATCGTTATTTTATACATTATAAATATAATAATATAGTTCATCAGAGCCTCTATTTGTTTGCCCATACGTCTATGATTTAAATAATATTTGATTTTGAACTTTGAGGTTATGTTTGGACCTTAGCGATTTGTTTTTATAAAATATAGTCTAATTGATATTATTAGTAGATTAAATGAAATGAGTTAATTTCCCCGAAATGAAAGAAAAATAAACATAAACTGGTCATTTAATGAATACTTTAAAAGTTTTCTTAATTTAAGTAAACATGTCACTAAAATGAGCTTAATACGAATATAAAAGGGTGGTAAAATACATAATATATATAGAGAGAGTTTGTCCACTTGCTTCGGTTTCAGTTCTAAAAGGGTGAGAGAGTGAGAGAGCAATTCATGAGATTGGGGATGCATAAGAGTGAGATGGTGAATGAGTCTGCTATGGTCTGTAACACAGGCAGACGGAGCCAATCAGGACGCAATGCGATTACCTTAACGAGAAATCCGATTACTTATTCATTCGCCTAACTCGAAATCAGTTTAACTAATCGTTTAATTCGGTAGCTACGTACTCGTGCGCCAGTTGAGAGTGGGTGGCTCAAATGGTATGGTTGTCAAGGGGGTGGAGAATCTCTCTTTCTCTTACACACGAATAAGAGAAATGTGGGAGAGGACGTTTACCGGAGAATGGTTCGAAACGGGGTTGGTGGAGGCCTCATTCAATTCAATTACGTAATGAATTGTCGTGTCTTGAGTAAACACCCTTCCTCACCGCGACTTACTGATGGTGAGGGGGTAGAACGAGGGTGGGCGAGAGGGGCATTATACATCCACTGGCGTAGGATAAAATCTTCCTTAAACACCGTCTAATTTTTTTAGTTGTTTTTTGTCTCCAACTTCTCCGAAAACGCACAATTACTTTTATTAATTTGGTAAAATTCAAAATATTTCGAAATAAAAATAAATTTCTTTACCATTAATTGTAATGGGCGTCAGTCTCAAAGCCACTCCCTATTTTTCTGTAGGCGTGGTTTTAATCACTTATCACGCCCTTAGTGGGAGTGGCCATACATATACCACCCCTAAATAGGAGTGATTATACGGTTGCAACGCCCCAAATACATTTATCACACCCAAAGTGGGAGTTGATATACATTTTCCGCACCCCAAATGGGAGTGGTTATACAGTTGTCACGCCCAAATAGGAGTGGCTTCATGGAAATATATTTGGCATGCCTTTAGTGAGTCTAATCAAATAGTATTTAATGGAGAAATCTTTTTTCTTTATTTCTAAGAAAAAAAAATGAGAAAACTATTGAGCTGTAATTAAATAAACCAAAGAGGTAAATGGAAAAAAGATTTATGTATACGCCAATGCAAACCCGGCTTGAATCAATCTGCACCGGTTGCCTACGTTTCGTCCGCAGCCCTTACCTATCTGCCACTCTTCCCCCTTCCCTTCAGGTCCACTATCGGTATATATATTTGATAATCCGGTAACGTTTCATATATCTGTATTTTCCGGTCGCGCGCGCGAGTGCATCCTCGATTGGATAATTACTGAATTTACACAAGCCGAGTCTATTTCAAATAATATTCATATTCACAGTTTGAAATTTAAATTTCTAAAATTCTCTCGATATATAGTTTTTTCTTCGAATGTTTATCAGTTTTCTTTATGATATTCAAACTGATTTTTCCCTTGAATGTTTAATTTTTTTTTATCATAATGTTTTTATTCAAATAATACATGAACTATATAAAAATGATAAATATAAAAATTGATAATTGAATCGTAATGAAATTAATAATTGTGTAATTAAATTATTAATAATTAATATTAATTAAGTATTGTTTTTCAATTAATTAATAATAATTTTAATATTTAATTATGAAATATTTAAATAAAATTCGATGTTCTGTTAAAAAAAAATTTTTATCAGAAGATAATTTCAGATGATTTAACAATAATAATGAAAACAGTCATGGCTCTCTTTCGGAACAAATTCCAAATTTTAAGTATGAATTCATTAAAGGTAAAAGTAACACTCTACTTACTTTTATTAATTCTTTTTTATATATTTTTTCTATTTGTAAAAATATTATTGCAATTTGAAAAAATTTTTTTATTTTAAAATTTAGCTGTTTTTTTAAATTTAGAATAATTGGCGTCAAGCAGAAATTTTTGATACACAAGCAAAATCTTGTGCTCAAATTACAACTAATAGAACTTTCTTTTGGACCACGAAGCAAAAATCAGAGCCAAGATCAAAATGTGCATATTATTCTAGACCACTTGATAATCCATGTATAAATCCTTCAAAGTATTGTGAAGGTATTGAGGTTAATCTTACATTTTGACAGTTCAAAAAATAAAAATATATTTTTTAACTTATTCAATAAATTATCAATCATTCAGAATATAATATTAAATATATCAAAAATAATTTTAGTAAATATTAAGTTAAATTACTAATTTTATTCTATTTTTTTTTTTTTTTTAATATCAGATTTAAAAAAGAATAAAAAAGAAAAAATTTGCAAGCCTCAGGAATCATTTTGGGCATATTTATTTGGAGAACCGAAATCAGAACCACTTCCCAATGATTGCTTTAATCGTAGATTGAATTATAAATGCGAAGAAAAATTAAGGTTAATAATTCTTTTTTCTTAAAAAATTAATTGAATATATAGGGAGCTGTGGTCTTTCTTTTAAATTAAAAAAAGTTAATTTTTCCAATTAATTTTTAGTGAAGAAACATATTCTCGATTAAGTGATCCTCGTTACACAAAAAAAGATATCCATTTATTTAGCGAAAACCCAAAACAATTGTCGAATATTTGCTCTGAACCACAACCAAAACCACCTCCACCTTATAAAATTCCTACATCTGTGACAAGCAAGAGAATTGCATCTGCGATTGGGGGACACACTTGTGTTCACATTCCCTTGCCCTCAAAAGGGGACAATTGTAAAATAAAGTCAGTCAATTATTGATGTACTTTTAAAAAAAAATTAATTATTGTTAATTATATATTTATTTAGTTTATTTTGGTTTTCTAATTAGTTAATAATAAATTTGTTTTAGGTGTACGGAACCAGAACCATTTTGGATTCCATATATGGAATTTCGACCAAGGGAACGTTTAAGAAGTCCTTTTACCTGTGAAAGTGGAAAGAGTGTCGAGGATGTTGTACGTCCTATTAACAAAAATTTATATCCTAATGGAATAAAATCATTTGGAACAAAAACTGTTGAACCGAACGCGGATAGGCCAACAAAATTTTCTCCATGTCCTTCAAGTTCAGAGGACGAAAGTTTTGCCAATACTTGTAAGGGACGAAAAAAATTGTCAAGAACTGAGAGATTAAAAATACTCACATCCGGTAGAGAGGGTGTCTATAAACCTATGAAATAAATAAATGCTAAATTGTACGCGCAATAATTTCAATTAAAAAAAGGTACAGTAAAATTGAATAAGAAAAAAATTTTTTTTTTCAATATTTTTTTGAAACTGAATTTTTTCATTATAGTAATTTGGAAAAAATTCTCTATCTTTAAATTAACAAATGTTATTTTTTATTTCCTATTTTATTTAATTGTCCAAAAAGACAAGAAGATACTAAACTTTATCCTCTCTAAATTTGTTTATATTCCCGCTATTATTTTAAAAATAATGAAAATTCGGTTCAAGCAAAATTCTGCTTTACCGATAAATGATAATATGTGGAAATATTCTCGAAAAGAACATTCCTGATTCTCACTTTGGAAAATTACCAATTGGCAATTTTGAGGTTATGTGCCCTGAGTAATAAAGGAAAGGTGAAAAATGAATATGTTTTGTCTGTTGTGAATTTTCAAATTAAAAAAAAAAAATAGTGTGTGAATTGTACTCGTTTTTGTACGAGACATAAGCAAATGTCTCGCAAAGGAACAATATCGGTTTGTAGATCAAAACAAATTCCGCGAATATTTCAACGTCAAAAAACCGCAACAAATGCTCGTTCTTGGTTAACCTCATTGATCCCTGAAGACGGTTGTATTTCACTTCGTGAACAATCAGATCAATCACATTATGATCTTTTGCCTGGTTCTTCATACGATTATCAACAGCATGAAAATGTCAAGAAAGAAATTACGAGCAAGTCAACGATCAATAAGGAATTCATTGAGAAAACGTGGAATGACGAGAGCTGTCAGGTATACATATAGTATTTATTATTTTTGTTTTGTTTTCATTTTCCCTGTATTATATTTTGTACCATCAAAACATATATGTATATATTATAAAATATAAAATTGCCGGTTTTTTATGCATAAAGTTTTCTATTTTTTGCGATTCTACTTCTTTTCTTTGTGTGTAATTTGAGGAACGGAAATCTGAACTTGGGCTAAGAGTAATTATTGTTAATTTCTTTCTTTTCGAACAATCGTAAAAATTATCCACATTGATTATTTGGAGATAATTTTTTTTTTTTTTATTCAAATTGAACTGTCAAAGAGGAAATTTTTTAAAAACTGATAAATTTAAAAGTAACTTTTGTTTTTTTTATTTGCTGTAGATAAACGAGGATAGCACGAGAACACAAAGTATGGACTCAATGGAAAGAACGAGTGGTGACACAAGTATTGAACATTGGTTCAAAATTCGCACAGATTCCGTATCCAGTATGGATCTCGAGGGAATGAAAAATGTCCCTAATTATTTGGCCGATGAATTATCGCACAATTTTCTCGAGAAAGATTCCAATTCTCTCTCGTACGATCCAATTCTTCATGAACTTCAAAATGATAAATTATTAGATACATGCACAAAAGATGACGAATTTATTTTACCAGAATTCGCCCTCGATCCATTGGAATTAACACCCGATATGATGGTTGCTGGTGAAATTTTACCGTCCACAAGTAATTCACTTTCATCATCATCGTCATTAAATGTTTCACATCATGATTCTTGTATTCCAATCGTTGAACAACAATCAGAAACTGCATCATCAACTCTCAATGTTGATAATCATCAAGATCTTTGCGACAAAGCCACTCAAGTTCACATTCGCGATTTTGAACATGTCGTAGAACATGATAATCAAGAAAATTCTAACTATCTCTGTGAATTAAAAAATATTGATCTCAATGATTTTGCCGGATCGGGATTGAGTATAAAATTAATTGACGATCAACAAAAGCAACAATTTAATGGTAAAACAAAAGATAATAATATCGTAAAGAAAATTTCTGATATGCAAGTTGTTTTAAAGAAAGATGAGATTAGTCCAATTGATTCATTATCATCATCGTCGTCATCATCAGGTGATGGTGTTATGGCAGTTGTTGCAATATCAACGGATAAAATTTCAAATTTAACACAAATTGTTATCAATAATGGTACTGAGGAGCAAATTTATCAGGGTAAAACTTCAGAATTAATTGAAGCAACTGGTAATTTAACGACAATTGATGCAAATAATATATGGCATGGAATTGATGCTGATACAGAAAATATGACTATCAATAAACACGATGTTGTTATAACAAATGCTCTCGAAGATTTGGGTATTACTGACGATATGTTGCAACCAGTGTCAATTGCTGATCAAGGAAAAACGTGGATTTGTCCTAAAAAAGATTGTCCTCGTTATTTTAGTCGTCTTTTTGCACTCAAGAGTCATTTATTAACACACTATGGAGTTAGACCATTTAAGGTATATACTACGAAATAATTTCAAATAGAAATTAGAATTATTTATTTATTTAATAAAATACTAGGGCTATTTTTTTATTTTTATCAAAGAATTAAAAAAACAAATGAGGTTTATAAGCTATACTAACATACAATACTAACTAATATTTTCAGTGTGATTTCGAGGGATGCTCTTGGGCATTTTACTCCGAATTCAAATTAAAACGACACAAGGAAACTCATTTAAAAAAAAAGGATTACGTATGCGAGGAAATTGATTGCCAACGGCGTTTCACGACAATTTACAATCTTTGGAGTCATAAGAAATTACACGAAAGACCAAATAGAATTTTTTGTCATGTGCCTGAATGTGATGAGAAATTTCAAACAAAACGCGCTCTTGAAATCCATATGAAATCACATGATCAGAGACATGCACCATATCAATGTAAACATGAGGGTTGTGGTAAACGTTATTACAGTAGTAATGCATTATCATCTCATCAACGCTGTCATAGTTATAAGGAGACTGACATTAAATGTTCATGGCCAGGTTGTGGGAAAATTTTCGATAAACCCTGTCGTCTTAAGGCACATACACGCTCACACACAGGATGTAAACCATATTCGTGTACATTTCCCGGTTGTCAATGGGCATTTGCCTCGTCTAGTAAATTAAAGAGACATCAAAAAAAGCATACAAATGATAGGAAATTTGTTTGTGAAATTATTTCATGTGGCAAGGCATTCATGCGATCCGAACATCTCAAAGAGCACAGGTTTGTTTTTTTCTTTTTCGAAATGACCCTTCTTACAGAATGTCCGCTGTGAACCTTGTATTTATTTTTCACCTTGAAATTGAAAATAACGTTTCATTATTTGTTTTTATAAAAAATGTCATTAAAGAATACAACTCGATTTTTGTTTTACAGATTAACGCATTCGCTAGAGAGATATTTTCAATGTTACGTTTGTAATACTCGTTTCTCAGCGAAAAGTAGTCTTTATGTTCACATCAAAAAGCATCATTCGAAAGCAGTGGACACGAGTAAATTGATGATTACATCGTGTGACGAGAATCCATCGAGAGATTTTAATTTCTCATCGTCGGACGCTCAACAACAACATGATGTTGATCTCGATCTTGAAACAGAATTGCAAACGGAAATAATAAGTCGTCAAGTGTTTGGACAATCGGACATGACGACTACAACATTGCACATTGAATCGAAGGTAAAAACGGAGAAAAATATCGCAAAAGATTCATCATCACTTCATCATCATCATTGTTGTCCCGTTGAGACATGCACGAGAAGTTATACATCAAAATCATCGCTTCGCGCTCATATTCATAAAATGCACGGATCATCGATTCTCGATGCCGAAGAGGATTTATCAGGATTGGAATTGGAAACTCATGATTCGGAAAATACAGATTTTATTGTCTATACAACACCGTATTCACTGTCGCAGCCAATTAATGATCAAATGATAATGGTCGCTCCTTGCGATGCTGTCATTTTCAGTTCCACTGAAAATAATGATATTCTCGAGACGGAATTGTCGTCGTCGAAGGTGATCAGCGCTTCTTCTTCTACTTCTTCTTCGGCATTAAAACGGAAATTTGAGAATCAACAACAGCGGCGTATTAATAATCAAGGTTCTGCGAGAACTGGTTTAACGTATGCGGATATTTTTAAATTAAAGGAAAATAATGCCGCCTCCACTGCGGTTGCTGCCACCGACGAGAGCGAAGAAACGACAACCGTTGTTGGCGCACAGGATGTTATTTTGGGTTCGACAACTGATCTTGGAGAAGGTTTCCTTTTTACCGAGGATATTCCCTCGATGTATTTTCAGGACGAATGTCAGGTACTTTTGCTCGATCCAGTCACATCGGAGAGTACAATCAATTTGCGTGATATCGATTAAAGTTAGTTTTTTCCATAAACTAAAGCTTTACTTATTTTTATATTTTTCTTTTTTTTCTTTTTTTGGTCACAGTTTTTCTTATTTTCACTTATTTGTGACCCAAAAATTTTGTTTAATTTAAATTGGATTAAACACAAACATTATGAATAGCTTGCGATTTTAATATTCTAAATCTCTAAATTATAACGGAAAATAAGTAGAGCAAAATTATATAAAAAAAAGTATGGGTAAAAATAAGTGAAGCTTTAATGTATTTTTATTAAAAAAATTTTTTTAATTTTTTTTTGAATTGAAAATTAAAATACGTCTTATGGTTTTTTTTTGTTTGTATTTTTTTGTCAATTTGTAATTTACTTTCAATTGTTATAATTTTTTTCATTATTCTATTCAAATTTTTTCCATGGATTGATAATTTGGTTTTTTTTTAAATTATTCACAACTCGATTAAATTGCAATGCCAATTTAGAGTCAATTGTATATTTAAAAGTTTCAAATTAAGTGAGAAATGTACTTTAATGCTTTATTAGATAATAAGCGCTCTTCAATTTTTTTACTATATTTTATATATAAATATATAAAAAAAAAAGTAATCATAGATATTTCTCTTCGTGATAAAAAAAAGAAACTTTTGCATATTGTAGGGAAAAAAATTGAAATCGTGGCAAATGAAATTTGTTCGATATAAATTTTTTTTTCTTTTTATTTTGCAAACTATATCGGGGAAGTGGGGTTTTTTTGGTAATTAGAATTATCAATTAGATGTTTTATAATAGAAACTTATTTAGATGGTAATAATAATAGTAATAGTAGTAATAATAATAATACAAATGTTGACAAGTCATCTGCGCATTCTATTTCGAAAATTTTTTTGACATTTAAAGAAAATCAAATTTACATATTTTACATGAATTTCAAAGGAAAACAAATGTATGTATATGTAAGAATCGTCTTTTATTGCGTAATTCAAAATAATTTGAGAAACGAAAAACAAAAATTGATCACACAATTATGTAAGTTCAAAGAGAGATAGAGAAAGAGATTTCTGTGATTTTAGCTGTTACGTATAAAAATATTAAGTTCTTTATATATATTTAATGTAGTTCTTTGTTCATAAATAACTACTGCTTTTTGATCTCAGAAAAAATATCCTATTTGTTTTCTTATAGGAAGAAATTTTCTGTAATTCTTCTAATGTTAATATCTTAATTGTAGCGCAGAAGACTCATGCTTTTTTAAATTTAAAATTTCATATTTCAATAATATTAACGGTGTATTTTCTCAATGAATATATAGAGAATGCTTTTAGAATTATACAATATTGTGGTAATAAAATGAAGAAAGTAAAGGATTTTTCCTCAAAAAAAAAAAAAAAGAATATAATTAATTGTTACTAGATTATGTCAATTAATTGTTAAATATTTAATTATATCACTTAATTGTGAATAATTATTTATGTCAATTAATTAGTAATAATTAATTAATAGTAATTAGTGTGAAATGATATTTTAATTACAGTTCTGAATAGAAAATGTATAACAGTGGAAGTATATTAATTCTTCTAGTTTCAATTGTCTGTCTGTCTGTCTGTGTGTGTGCGACATTATTCTAAAATATTAACTACGTAAAATGTTTTTTTACTTTTCATCGCTTTTTGAGAAATAACTTCTCGAATTTGAAAAATTTGGATTCTGTTTTCCAAAACAAATTTTAAAAAATAATTTGTGGCGGAAACAATTTATTGGCAAAAATTTAAAAAAACATATTCTTTTTTCGAATTAACGATTTTTAAAAATTTTTAAATTAATTTTCAATTAAATTTAAATTTTAAAGTAATTTCAATTTAATTCATAAAGTTGTTTTTTTCCTTTGAATTTGCTTGAGGAAAAATCCACAAGACTTCAATATTATAGGATATAGATTTTAAAATGATCTGTGATCCGAAGGCTTTTGTCTTTTGAGCCTATAAAAGAAAAAAACACCACATATATGTACATCTCATTATCGTTTTAAATCGTTATTTTATTAATAAAAAAACAAAATGTTGATATTTTTCTATGAAATTTGCAGTTTTTTTATAATATATATTCCGACATCCTATTACGTTTCTGTGGCTAATAATAATTTATGATTATGCCTGGAATGTATAACGTACACGCATTAGGAATTTATCTTTTTTTATTAATTGCCTTCGTCGTGCGTCATTTTTTTTTAAATATTACTTTTAACAAAAATGGACAATAATTATCCAAGAAGTAAAAATTATTATCATTTTTAAAAATGTTTGGTAAAGATTAGCACCGCAACGCTTTTAATTATATACACACACAGTATTTTCATCATCATTTATTTATTTTGCATACACAATTTCTTAAAATATTTTTTTAATACCGCAATTCGATGTTACGTTAGAATATTCATAATATTCGTCATCTCGCATATACAAAACTTTTTTTTTTTTTATCAAAAAAGACTATTAACTACTTTAAAAAAATACAGAGGTATCACTTTGGTTAACAAAAAAAAAGTTTACACTCAAAAAATTTATCATGACATGGAAATTGTTATTATAAATAAAATTACGGAATGTATTATATCTATATAAATCGTTATAATATATCTATTATAATTATCAAGATGCAACGAGAGCAAATTGAGACAGTCTTTTAGAGTGTGGATACAATATATGTATATATATATATATATAATCTTGAGCAGAAGAAATGTCTGAACACATCATTTTCATAAAATATTTTGTCAACAATATTCTAAAGAATAAGACACACAAGATATAAAATATGTACTATAAAAAATAATAATGTTTCAGACAATAACTTCTACATTTTTCGTCGAAACCACTTCGGTAATGTCGATAGTTTTTCGTCGACTACATGTTCGATCGGCAAGTTTCGCAAGTAAACAAAATACGCCGTGAACAATTAATAAAAATATCGTAACCACCAAGCAAACAATTACTGTTCTCATTGGTTTTTTCCAATCGAGTATCGCATAAATAAAATGATTCCCTAATTTATCGACACCGCCGGCAGCGTAATAAATAATTGAGAATAAAACATAGAGCAGTGCCACAATTAAACACCACCATGCACTAAATAAAAATATTGGAATTTTCACCATACACATGTCGACAATCATTAAAATACTGTTAAACACATGCAGTAAAATATTGAGAATATCGACAGAATGAATTTGTGGATTGTAAATAACACTCCAGTAAATAATTGTCACACTCAATGCCAATGTACATGTGACCACATAAAGGAACCAATAGCTCTTCAGTAAGGGACTTAATTCGAGATTTATTGCATTGAAATCGCAACATTTTTGCAATTTCCATCGTCTCGTAACAATTAATGCGCCAAAAAATGATTGCATTAATCCCAAAACTAAATCCCAATTGGTTAGATAAATACCCCAGAGATGATTATTGCCGTGGGGTTGATAGCTACCGAATTCAAATATAGAGCAGATGATTATTGACGCCCAAGCGAGGAACATCATCCATCGATAAAATAGGTACCATGGACGAACTTCCTCCTGATATCGACATTCGGAGAAAAGGCGAGCGTGTGGCGGTTCTGGTTTCAAGCGTGACCATTTTCTTGAGACTCGGTGCCAAAGTTTGTTGACCATTGCTCGTCGACCTGAAACATAATTATTATATTTTTATAAGTAAATATTTTTTTTCTATATTATTAAATTTAAGGTTATATTTATACAAACGAGTCGGTAAAACCTCAAGAATTGTATACGTTTCACATTCTCAATACATATCTCCCAATACCTGTTTTTTTAATGATCTCAAGATCTGAATTTTTTTTAAATCTGCAAAATTTATTCAAGATTAAACTTGAGAGAAGGGTCACACAGATCCTGTATGTATTCCGAGGGTTAAAGTGGTTTCTAATTATTAATTAATTTTAATACTGAATTTGGTGGCGTTGGAGGTCGTCCATACGTTATCAATTGTACAACTTTTTAGACTCCCTTCCCCCCTTCGTTGACAAATTACATTAATTTTTATATATTTTTACATTAAGTTCAAGTCAGAACCCCTCCGCCCTCTAAATTAGTAACGTAGTTTACGGATGACCCTTCGCTTGTGTCCCATACATGCCCTTAATGTAAAATTGACTGAAAAATTCTAGTTCTGCAAAATTTTCAAAATATATTTCTTTTATTTTCTTTCGCGTTTAATATTTTTTTCTATTTCAAACTCAAACTAATACTTTTAGCGAAATTCAATTACAGGGTGGGAAAATCCTCTGTGTTTCGAATTTAGGTTAAACTTCATTTATATATTAATCAAGTCGAAGATTGGATTTAGTATAAATTTAAATAAAAAATAATTTATAAATTAGCAATTAATTAAAATTGTATTTAACCTGATTTTTTTTAGGAAAAGATCATTTAAATTTTAAAAAGAAACAAAGTTAAATATGAAATGTTCGAAATTTTGAAAATTAAGTTAGAAAAAAGATTATTCATTTAAAAAAGTAATTTTGTAGAAAATAAAAATTTTTGAAATATCTTCAAAAATAAGAATTGTAAATATCAAAAATTGTGGAAAATAACTTAATTGATTTGCGAGGCGCTATGGAAACACAGAGACGAAAACAATATATTACGAGTTGACTGAAAATGAATAAGAAAAGAAAAAAAAGGATTATTAAAATAAAATTACCTTGACATTCGCGTTGAGACTTTGAAATTTTTTAGTTAAATAATTCCATAAAGCTGGTAGTTTCTGACTTTACCTGAGATTTCTAATTTCCGTTGCTTCCCGCACGAGCAATCTTGAGCACAACGACTAATAAACGACAATTATCCCCAACATTTCAAATCTTTAAGAGTGAACGTGGCGCGCGCAGTTTCCGCGAAAATACTCAACAATTTTTATACCTGTATATGTTTAATTTTTTTTTTGCTTAAATTTTTACCTTTCCTTCTTACAAAAGAAAGATCCGTTTACATTTTAAAAAATAGAGGTATTTTTTTAATTCAAATAATTTTTTCTTAAAAAGGAAGGTAAAAATTTCAATATACATAATATAATATTATATTTTAAAAAAAAATTAAAATTAAACCCAATAGACATTTATTAGAATTGCAAACCACGTAAAAATTTCATTTTTCGATAAATTTATTGAATGATACAAATTATGACACAATAAAGGGAGTTTATTTTTTGTTATTAAAGTAAGAAATTATACATGGTAATATGTATTATCAATTGTATAGAATATTCATCATATTTATATTTTACGTTATTCCCTGTTTATAAAATATTATAATAATTTTGAGGTTATAACTTACAAGTGAAACATTGTCCAAAAAAGAACAATAATCGATTAATTGTAGGAAATCCCCGAAAGGTAAACAGCACCATTTTGAGAATTTAATTATAATATGATTCAGGAAATTCCACAAATGAAAGAAATTCGATTACGCATATTTTATGCGACACACACAAACGCGTAATAATAAAAAAACATTCAGTAAATGTTCTTTCATAATTATTACGATTATTACAAAATTAGAAAATGCCCAATGCTGACAATTACATCACGTTTAATAACCTATACAGAAATGACAGAAATCAGCTGTTTCTTGTTATCCTTTTGCAACGCATGCGCACACAAAAAAGATTGAACCGGGAAAATTTAATTTTTCATTTGTAAAGTACTTATTAAAGTTTAAGAATATCTGTCACTTTATAATTGTATTAAATATTTATCTAAACAAATGAATTTAATGAATAATTAAAATTTTATTATAATTATATAATAATAATAAGAAATTATTATAAGAAATAATAATAAGAAATAATTATTGTATAAAAATGAAAATTGGAAATCGTTACGATTTAATAAATAAATTGTAAATAATTCTAATATTCTGAAAATTCAATTTAATATTGTCATTTATAAATACAATGAATTTAAATAAAATAAAATTAATAGCTTTTTCCTCATTTCATTTATAAATAATTCGAGATATTATAGTGAAATCAATGTGTGTGAGTGTATGTGTGAGCGTGGGTTAAAAAATTTAGAAGACAGTTATGACCAATTGAACCTTATCAGACCACATCAATTTTGTTTAATATATTAAACTTATATTTCTTGTTCTATAAAACAACAATAATAATAATAATAGGTACAAAATTGTTAAATAACTAATTTTTGAAATATTAATAAATATAATAGTAAGTATAATAGTAAATATATATGTGAAATGAAGAAGAAAAAATTGAATGAAAAGAATTCTTTTTGATAGCCATTGACCAAATAATTGTTCTTCTGTTTGGTTAATAGTATAATGACTATACGATGTGTTGCGAATGTAACCTGAACTAATTAACCCCCGTGGTCCTCAACTAAAGTTCACACGACACTCGATTATACATCATTTATTAATCAAAGGTCGCGTCAATTAGCTTCACATAATTATAATTCATTATCATTTTTCTTTCTCTTCGGTTGATAATTTCGATTTTATCTTTTATTGGTGACAATTAGTATAATTATTATTATTGATTTTCAATATCATCTTCCGCATGATTTTTATTAATTTTATCAATTTTTTCAATAATTAATCGATTTTTAAAAAATTATTTTTAACTTGGACTTAATTTATTGATTTCTTTCGTTATTTAATTTTCTGCAAAAAAATCTTTTTTTTAATTTTTCTTTTTTTATATTATTTTGAACATAATTTAACTTAGTATTTATATTGGTACCTCATTATTATTATTATTATTATTATTATTATTATTATTATTATTATTTACTATTTCAATTATTTTAAATGCTTTTCAGAACACTTAATTATCGTCACTACTGTTAATATTCTATAAAGTTTTAATATTATTTTAACAATTTTTTTACCTTTTAACTGTTTTCGAAGAGTAAAAAAATAAGAAAATTGGATTTAAATTTTTTTAACTAAACTTTTGATAATGTAGAATTTATTTTAATGAAAGAGTAAAGATAATTTATATAAAACCGTCAAAGATAAAAAATTTTTTTTTCTTTGAAATGTACTTGTTTAACCTAATTTCTTTCGGTTTTCACGTTTCGGTTCGTTATTTACTTTAATGATGATAAAAAGAAAAACAAATGTTCCGTATGTCAATCAATAAAAAAGAAATTGATTTGAAACAAGGGCGATTTATTTATTTTTTTAATTTAAATGCTATACTTATCTAATCGTAAGTTAAATTTAAACATATTTTCTCTTCAGAAATACAATATAGTTACTTACATTTATTATTTACCGAAATTTGTTTATTTTTGATTATGAAATTTTTCTTCTCTTGTTTTTAAAATTTATTTTTTCTTTATTTTTTAATTTTAAATAAATTATGTCTATGAAAAATGAATATTTTATTATCAACTACGAATTATTTTCTTCTAAGATTCAATTAAAAAAAAATACTTAAACATTTAATAAATTGTTTTTGTGTTTATGTTTTGGCAATCACACATCATGTAAATTTTTATTTAAATCAATTGAAAATCATTTAAAATGGTAATTTTATGTGGTTTGTTAATAATATTAGAAATTTAAAAAAAATATAATTGTGTTAATTTATTAATTGTTGACAAGTGCAATTAATTATTTAAATTTGTTGGTAGGTAAAATTAGTTAATTTGTTAATAAATAAAGTTAATTATTCATTTAATTCTCTTAAAACAACATTTATTTTAGTTAAATAAATAATGATAATTATTTAGTACCTTGTTTTTAAATAAAATTTATTTATTAACAATTTGTTAAAAAATAAATTGTTTACTTATTTCAATTAAAAGCAAATTGTTTTTCAATTAAGCCGGTCTACTGTCGTAACGTGGTTATAAATTTTCGAAAATTAAATTTTCAATAACTTTTTTTTGCATTCAAAGTGTTTTTTTGTTTGAATTCTTTAATTTGAGATGTAAAAAACACGAAAGCACACCGAAAAAAATTCAGTTGATTTTTCTCACTTTTTTTTAATGCTTGCTGCCAGGTAGTTAAAGCCAATGCTGTCACTTCATGACTGTTGCTATACCATCCTCATAAATGACAAATATAGTCAAGCAAACACTGTAGACTAAGAGAGAACGCAATATGTGGTGGGAAAAATTAATATATATATATGCATCCTCTTTTTTCTAATTATGTACCTTCTCTGATATAAAATATGTACTTACACTCAACCCTTGAACTTATACTTTGACTATGACCTTTAAATTTGAAATTTATTAATTCATTTTATAACAAAAAATTTAATTTATTTGATTAGTTTTATTTATAAACAATAAATATATTAATTCCATAAATTGAATTTACTAGAATTAAAAATTAAGTTAAGAAAATTTTTTTCATTTGAGAAAAAAATTGATTATTTTTTATTTTAACAATTTATTATTTTCAGAAAGTTAATAATTCTTGAATTAATGAAAAGTCGTTGAACTGTTCATAAGGTCATAAATCGTTACAATTTAAAGTTATTATAATAGTTAATCCGTCATTTTATACGAATTAATGCTATATACATATGTATATGTATATGGTTATAAATCATCATTCGCTGTCTATTAACATCTGAATTCAATACTGCAATATTGTATTTAATTTTGAAAAAAGTTTTCCTATTTTTTATCTCAAATTTTTATATTGTTACTGTTATATCAAAGAATAGTAAAAGTTAAAAAAAAATTATTGGTTGATATTCTTTTTATAATAAATTAGAAGAAGATTAGTATTTAAGAGAAAATTTGTTCTTTTGTTTTTTTGGCCACTTGAAAATGTTGATTATTTATATAAGAATGTTGAAAATAATAAACATAATTACATAGCTAGTGGCACAAGGTTGTCGTCTTGCTTTTCTTATTATGACATTAGATAGTAGAATTTCTTCAATTTACGAAAATTCAAAGTCGTGATGCAACTCAGAGTTGTAATATAGAATACATCATCTTATTTAAATTATTTTGAAATGATACTTACGTGTAAAATCCGGCGAGATGATAAAAGAGAATTCTGTAGAAGTTAAACTTGATTTTCTTAATGAATTCCTTTCCCAAATTTCCTCTAAATACTCTTCCTCTATCTCCGTGTTTTTTAGTACTCTCATTATTAAAATTTTTTTAAATAAAAATATTAACAATAATTATTTGCATAAAATAAATAATAATAGGTATTATAAATTGTAACAAATATGTAAATAATCGAATATTTTTTTGATAAAAAAAATAATAATCTTATAAATAAGATGTGAAAAATACTTAAAGAACTTCCGAGTTTCTTTTAAATCTAAAAAACTACTGACGAGATTATTTCGAATTGATTTTATGCAATCGTTATTTAAGAAAAAAGGAGAAAAAAACGTTTTTTTATGTCGTGAACAAAGAAAGATTTGATAGTCTCGTGACGTTAAAAGAACTCAGTACACGTTATGTATATTATTATCATATGCATTTTCAATAATTGAATACGTCACTAAAATTTTTGAATAGATATTTTACAATGTAAAAAAATTGTAAAATTTTTTTATTTAAAAGTATTTTTAAATTTGTAAATTTTTGTTTTTTAATTATGAAAATTCAAAAATATTAATTCACATACTGGGACAAATTTGAATTTAAAAAAAAAAATTAATAAATATCGACAGCCATGGCTTGTATATATAGGTATAAAGATTTTATAAATATACGCAAGTTTGTTGGTGTTCCAGCATCTCGGGCCTGCTCGTGGACCAAAAATAATCATAGACTTCAGTTTGTATGCCATGTAGTGCACTCAACGGAAGTTAGTTTCACTAATCATTAACCGAAGAAATAGCCTTTTTTTTACCGAATATAAAAGTTTTTCTTTAATTTAAAGGAAAGAATAGATCCGAAAAGAAATAGAATGTATTAAATAAATTTTTTAATGAGAATATTTTGCATTTAATCCATGTGCGTGTGAATGGTGTGTGAATTTAGTGAATTATGAGGTGTTTCTATGAAATAATCACCACATGGCTTATTTTACTTATTACAAGCACATGTGTCGCCCGAGATGTCCAAATGTGAGATTAAAAACTATTTATTTAATAAATTAATTAATAAAATTCGAAAAAATTAAATTAATTTTACATATTCTTTTACACCTTTTTCTATGTAGTATTTTATTAACATTATTAATATATATTTAAAAGTATATAAAATAAACAAAAATATTTATAATATTTATAAAAGGAAAAATATTCAAAAAATGTGATTTTAGTGTCGATCAATGGGCGGAGACACTGGGAAATGAGATTTTTGAAATGGCTAATGTCGTGGCACAACCAAATGTATTGAAAGCCGTGAGTTTTAATAATAATTATAATTATCGTATAATTTAGTGGAAAAATATAAAATCCAAAAATTGTAAAATTTTTTTTATTTAAAAAAAATTTCCAGCGTTACAAAGAAATGAATACAAAGGTGGTTCATAAGTCTGGCGATGAATTGATTGAAGTAATAAGAGAGAGTGTCGGCCGGATGTTGCATCGAAAAATGGATGCTGTACGTTGTATTCTAAAGGCGGCAGAAAGCGCATCTGAAAATTATGAGACACTTGAAAATTACGATGGCCTGACCTATGTTAGTGGCAAATTTAGTGAGGCACTCGATGAAGAAGTTTTGCTTCCTGAAAATTTACGAAATGTTTCATATAGGTGTGAATTTTTTTTTAAAAAAAACCTTTTTTCAAAAGTTATTTTGAATTTTTTTTTAAATTTTAAGTTACAACAAAAAATTAAACAATCTGTATTTTTTTTATAATAGTTCAAAACCTACGATTAAATAAAAAATTTTTCAGTGAAATGACTTTGACAGCAGATTCCCATTTTTACAACATTCCTGTAAATATAAATTATTCCTCCGTTCAAATTCCAACGAATGTTTATGATTTATCGCATCCAGTCGCTGAAGCGATAAGTTGGTCCGAAGGATTAGACGAAACATTTAGGCAAAATTATAGGTTCGTTATGATATTAATGTTTTGAATAATGCGAATAGGTAAATAAAAAATTTGCAATTATATATTAAATTTTATTAACTTCTCAAAATATAAAAAGATCAGATCCCGCTTTATCGTGGCAGTATTTTGGATCAACGACAGGAATGCTGAGACAATATCCAGCAATGAGATGGAAAACATTGAATCCCAAAGACAGAAATCAATTGGGCGTTGATCCATATGATTGTCGAATTCGAAGTTGGTACATTGAGGCCGCTACTTGTAGCAAAGATATGGTTATTCTCGTTGACAATAGTGGAAGTATGACCGGAATTGGAAAATCGATTGGTTCGTTTTTTTCAAATAAATATCAGGCTAAAAATAATATAATATAATATATAATTAAACTAAAATTTTTAGCAAGAAGAACAGTTTGGTCTTTATTGGAGACCCTATCGAACAATGATTTTGTGGCCATTATGAATTTTTCCGATACCACTCAAGATGTGGTGCCATGTTTTAAAGATCGATTGGTTCAAGCAACGCCGGAAAATTTGAAAAAGTACAATGAACTTATGCTCGAAATGAAACCGGATGGAATAGCAAATTTAACGGAAGCATTTATCAAGGCGTTCACTCTCCTAAAGAATTACCGAGAGACGCGAGGTTGTGGACCCCAGACACCATGCAATCAATTAATAATGCTCGTCACAGATGGAATTGCCAGCAATATTACTGAGGTAAAAAAACTATATTTGAAATATTATATTTCTTAAAAAACCATTAAAAAAATCTTTTTATAAATAGAATTGACAGTAAAGTTTTTTTTAATTAAATTTATAATTAAGAAAAGAAAATTGTTTAAAGGTTTTTCAGGCATGGAATTGGGCGGAAAATGGTACAAATATTCCAGTTAGAGTATTTACATATCTTTTGGGTAAAGAAGTGACGAAAGTACGGGAAATACAGTGGATGGCATGTTTAAATAGAGGTTACTACGTACACGTTCATAATCAAGAAGAAGCACGGGAACAAGTGTTAAAATATATTAACGTTGTAGCTAGACCTCTAGTCCTCCAAGGGGTGGAACACCCGGTAAGATGGACCCACGTTTATGCAGATGTTACGGTAAGATTTCAAAAAAAGTTTTTTCTTATTTATAATAAAATTACTAATTTAAAATTTTAAAAAAATACTTATTAATAATTATGTTAATCATTTATTTTTATTTTTTTGATTAATTATAGAGGATCCTAATTGTAAATGTTTTTTTTTTTATTATTATTAATTTTTTAATCAAAATCATCGAAATTGAGAAACACTGTGCGCGCCAGACTGGGGGGACGCGTCATCCAATTAATACGCGCTACCCCCACTCTGGCGAGTGTACTGATTGGTGGTTGCTCTCTTCCCATTTCAAGGCGTGCAGTGTTTCTCAACTTTTGCATTCGAAAACGCTCACCAATGTCATTAATTCAAGGCCTATTATTATTATTATTATTATTATTTATTTATTTATTATACTAATCTATATTGTCCTAAAAGACAAATATTTAACGTTTAAAGAAGAAAATTAATTTCGAATTAAACGTATCATTCTTTTTCTTCGTGTGTAATTCGTTTTTCCAAGAATAAAAAAGTTGGAATTTCATAGAAAGAAATATTTTTTTTGTCATTCCTCGGCAAATCTTAATCGTAAGTTGAAAAAAATTCTTTTTTAAATCGGATTACTCCCTCGTAATTGATATTATTAATGTTATTATTATTTGAAATGAGAAAATTCCACCATTAGAATCCTGCACTGTCCACGTGGCTCTGGTTGGTAATGGACCACGAGGATCAAAAATCCCGCCTTCAGAAACATCTGAAAGGAAAAGAACTGGGCGTCAGAGTTAATGAAGACACCATCTACATTAAACAGGTTTAAAATAACCCTCTGAACCTGTATTTTTTGGAATTTTTACTTAATTTTATGTATGATTTCAACTCTTCCCTGTGTTTTTTTGATTTTTTCCAGGAATTTTTATTATTTCGATCCAAGCACTTTTTGTGTGTAACATTTTATAATTTCGCCTCTTATTTTATATAATGAAATATAATTTTCGTTGATGATTTCTAATGAGTGTATTGTATATTCCAAGTAGTTTATAGTGCAATGCTTCTCTGTAGACTATTCACAAATAGAACGACAGTAAACATAAATTATGTTTAATATTATTGTATAGAAGATTAATCGATTTTACTTTTGAATTTCGTTTCAAAATTTTTTAAATTCATTTTTCTCTTTATTGACAAGTAGATGGATATGGGAGAAGACGTGAGGGCAAATCCATCGGATTTAAATTCAACATTATATCAAGAGTATAGACTCTTATTATCAGTCAGTATTCCAGTGTTTGATTTGAAGGGAAATAAAAATAATCGTACAAGACAAGCAAATCTTCTTGGTGTTGCTGGTACAGATGTTCCGCTTGATGAGATTGGCAAATTAACATTACCATTCAAATTAGGTGTCAACGGTTATGTTTTTATAGTCTCAAATAATGGATATGTTATTTTGCATCCCGATTTACGTCCTGTATCAAATGGAGATCTTAAACCCAATTACAATAGCGTTGATCTCACTGAAGTTGAAATTCTCAATGATGACAGTGGTCCACGGTAAAATTTCATTTTAAAGTTAATTATTAAAACAGAGAATTTAATTATAGCTATAATTTTACAAAAAAAAATTTTCTAGTCAACCGGGACAAGATATTTTAAAGCTGAGACAAATGTTGGTGGATCATGCAAATGGAAGTATGAAAAACGTTTCAGTTAAACTTCATTATGACGCTAATAAGCGAGTAACTCTGGAGTATCGCGATTATTTTTATCGATCATTACCTGGAACACCATTTGGAATTGCAGTTGCATTATCGAATTATGGAACCACTTGGATTAAGGTTAAGGAATTATTTGAAATTCGCAATTTTTAATTTTGTCATACATTTTCTTGCAGCTAATTTTATTACTGTTAGAAGTATAAAAAAATAATTTTAGGTAGGAGACGAAATTAGCAGAACATTAAATAAGAACATCAATATTTTGGATTTATTCACTGGAAATTATTGGAGAATACATCCTGGTTGGATTTATTGTCGATATCATTATCCAGAGGGTCATAAAGAAAGAGGAGAAAAAGAATTGTTACATTTTATCAAATACTTTCAGGACAATAGTAAGTATTAAGCGAGGTATTAAGTTTATTTCTTAAAAATAAATGAATATTTAACGTATATGAATTCCCAGCAAAACGTGGCGAACCTTGGTACATGCCAAGCCAATACGAGACTGATGAACACGATACGGAGTTAAATTGTACCAGAAGATCACTCGATCGAGAATCTTATTACTGTAATGAGGAATTAATGCAACTTTTGGTCTTTGACGCTAGAGCAACTTATAAAAGTTTTGTTGAAGATTTTCGAATGAATTATCTCGCGAAAACGTATAATGTATTTTTACGTTTTATTGCGACGCAAAGTGGACTCACTAGATGGCAATATATAGGGGACAAAAAAATTGGCAAAGGAACGTATTATGATAAAATTGAATTTGGTGATTTACATAAGAAAGCCGTGAATGAACCTTGGTATAAGGGTGCAATCTTTCAACATCAAGTGGATCCTACCAGTGTTTCCATAACTGGTAATTTATATTTTATTTCTTTTTGTCTAAACGTAAATAAGTAACATAAAAGAAAGAGGATTTTTAAAAATATTTTGCAGTGCCTCCGAAATCAACAGTCAATCCAATAGTAACAGTTTCGATGGGAATATTTCCAAAAGATGGAGGTTTGGAGGCTCCGGCTGCAGTTGTGGGTTTTCAGATGCCCATGAAAGCTTTTCTTGCTCGCTTCAAGAACATTACTTCACGAACAAACAACGAGTACCTCAATTGTGCTCTAGAATGGATGCATTGCTATTTAATTGATCAAAATGGTTATATAGTGATAGCTGAAGCTGATTTCGATCCGGTTGGCGATTTTCTTGGAATTGTTCATGGACCCATTATGCAATCCCTAGTGCTCCAGGGAATATTCAGTCCGGTAGAAATTTACGATTATCAAGCATTTTGTGAGAATATTGTAAGTACAGTTCCTTTTTCATTGAATGTTTGTTTTCTTCTTTTGAATATAATTGGAATATGTTACATTTTTCAGGTTAAGGCTGGTTCTGGAAATTCCCTTATAAATCCATTAAAGTATTTAATGAAATTCTTCTCTTGGTTTGTAATGCGAGTGGCATGGTACGCTGTACATTTGATGAATTTACCAGTTACTTTAGCTGAGGAAGACGATGATTCTCCTGAGGCTAATTTACCTCAAGAACCTTTGTCTCAAGAGCATGAGGAAAATCAAAGATATCCTTGCGATGAGAAGAGAACACTTTATATTATGGATCAAGTGGAAGCTGCAAAAGGCGTCACTAATTCATCGATTCAGTGTTCCAGGCCCTTCTATGCTCAAAAAGTAAGTTGTTCTGTTGTACAGGCATTAACTGAAAAAAATTACAAGGTTGGTAGTACATTTGTAGGTCACTTTATAGATTTACTAATAATAATAATTTGCTTTTAATTTTCAAGTTCCATTTTTTGTCAAATATTTATAAATCGTTAAACTGTACTGTTTTTATTGTTCTGTAAGTAACCCTGGAAAGGAATATGAATTAATTAGAATACTGGATAGTTAATTAGATATTTCCCTATTGTATAATTTTTTTTTTCTTTTGCAAATGTCCACTTGCAATCCGATATTTAATAAGTAGCAATGATATATTTTTAAGGTACCCCATACAAACCTCCTTCTATTGGTTGTCAATGTTTTATCAAGTACCTGCGAAGTTCGATTAAGCATCGAACCGGAAATAATAGAAGTTGATACCTTCACAAATGCCACTGAGGGTAGACCTTGTCACAAAATACCTCTAAATGATTTATCACGACGACGATTGGAATCCTGTTTCACGGAGCATCACCTGGAGGATGAAATTGATGCATGTGGAGGTGCATCAGAACTTCAAGTTTCTTCATTATTATTATTATTGATGATTATAATTTGTCAAACTGTATGTAAGTTCTTTGTAAAATAATTTATTTCTATCTCTGTTATTGCAATTGATTTTCTTTTGAAATCCCTGATATAATCACATTCACTTTCCATAAGGTGTAAATTCGATTAATATTGGAAATAATTCATTTGATGAAAATCAAGTTTTTTAAATGACAGAAAAAAAATTTCTTCTCTTTTCGTGTGTCTTGTTATTGTTGATCAGCTGTGCCTTTTTGATTAAGGGGATATGTGTGCGCGAGGGGAAACCCATAATATGGACTGCGGGAATTGCGCGCACGCCCAGCACAACGTAATCAATAGGGTATATGGAAAGTCAGGGAAGGTATAGAGGCCAGAGTTGAAACGTGTGACGAATGTCATTCGAAAACATTTTCATTTTAAATTCAATTCTTTTTTAATGTTACCATTCGGTTTTACGAAGATTTAACGGGACATTTTTTAAAGTAATGAGGTCCTGGCTGTTGTCGTTTTTCGCGTTTTTTATTATCATTCAAGCATCAACTAGAGGTGAACGAATTACATTCAGCCCGTAAGTAACAGCATCGTTATTTATTTATAAATTTTAATCATTATATATGCATAAAAAACATACAGAGGAAAATGTATTTTTCACAATTTCATTGTCACTTTTCGAGTCTTCTGTATAGATATAAATTAATTTGTCCTTTAGAAAATCCTATTCGCTTTAAATTGTTATTTAAAAAAATGTTCCACGAATTTCTCTACTTTTAAAGTGTGTTAAAATTGTCAAGTATAAAAAAATGTTTTCTTCTTTAAATTGAAATCGGTAAATTAAATTTAAAAATAGAATTAGAATAAATTTTTTCCGGCAATGCTTTTGTGTTGTCAACACTGTGTATATATGTGTACATCAACTTTCATATTATTGTCTTGATTTAGAGTTAAGGTATGGGCCCGAAAATTAGGCTTCGAATTATCCCAACTCGGGAAATATGTCACAAACGTAGAAAAATTTCAAGCTACCTACCAACATGCGACGGTCCAACCGAAAGATGGAAGTCAATTGGTTAAAGATATTGCAAAAGATATTAAAGCAATGATGGAGTCCAAGATTTCTGCAATCAAGGTATGATCATTTCTTTGTTTTTTCAACAATTATCTTATTAGAATAACAATTTCTCACTCTTGGCCAAAGTGACAATTTTTCACCCAAGGGATAAAAACACTGCTTTTAATCCTATCATTTTTAACACTAGAGAGTAAGACTGAGAATTATAATTTAATTAATGCTATTTCCAACAGCGAATAATGGACGTGGCGCAAAAAGTTGCCGAATCAGCGCCAGACGTCACACCGTCGAAAGATTATCTTTATGTGAATGCAAAAAATAATACAATTGATTTAACGAATGATTATCATTTTGGTGGTTTAGTTAATTTAAGTATGTCGGCAGTTCATGTGCCGACAAATGTTTATGATCGTGCGCCAGAAGTAATACGAGCTATTAAATGGTCAGAAGAATTAGATAAAATTTTTGTAAATAATTATCAACAAGATCCCTCATTGTCGTGGCAATATTTTGGCAGTGCCACTGGTTTTATGAGACAATTTCCCGCCACCAATTGGCAAATGGAGGAAGTCGATCTTTTTGATTGTCGAACACGAAGTTGGTACATTGAAGCTGCAACAAGTCCAAAGGATATTCTCATCCTTGTTGACACGTCCGGTAGTATGACGGGTATCAGAAAAGAAATTGCTCGACATGTTGTCAATAATATTCTTGACACATTGGGAAATAATGATTTTGTCAATATCATCACATTCTCCAATGAAACAAGTAGTGTAAGTTTTTTCTGGGAGAGAGAATAATAAATGTTGTTTGGAATGAAATTAATTTTTATTAATTTATTTTCTCATTTTTCTTAGGTGGTTAAGTGTTTTAGCAATCGATTGGTACAGGCGAATTTGGCGAATATTCGAGAATTAAAAAAAGGCATTCAAAACATGACGACGGAGAGAATAGCAAATTTTTCAATGGTCTTATCGCAGGCTTTTGAAATGTTGGCTTATTATCGGGCCAGTAAGGAGGGTGCCGATTGTAATCAAGCGATAATGTTAATTACTGATGGTGTTCCAGAAAATTATAAAGATACATTTAAATATTACAATTGGTACAGCAACCCTGATAATCCTGATCAGGCGGATATGCCAGTGAGAATATTTACTTATCTCATTGGTAGGGAAGTGGCTGATTACAGAGAAGTCAAATGGATGGCCTGTGCAAACAGAGGATATTTTGTACATTTATCAACAATGGCAGAAGTTCGAGAGCAGGTGAGAATGAAAATTGAATTCAAAAAAAACCCTGGGGAGAAGAAATACCGTTTTCAATCCTAGTAAACAAAATAACCATTTTCCACACTAGGAAGCTATTTGTGGAGTAAAAATCGGTCCCTGCGAACTGAAAGATAATTTAATTTTCAGGTATTGAATTACATACCCGTTATGGCGAGGCCATTGGTGTTGAAAAAAACTGATCATCCAACAATTTGGACCCCAGTCTATGCGGACATTGAGGATCCAAAAATGACTGATTGGCTCTGGGAGCAAAATCTTTGCAGTCAACAAAAGTTGATGGTCCTAAGAAGTAGAATGGTCAATCAAACGACAAACGATGATGACGATTCCATTGATGAAGTGGAAGAGACTTATTTTCGTTATCAGGGTCAACAGAAATATAGATTAATGACTTCTGTCAGTACACCAGTTTACGACACACGATCCAACGCGGTGAGTTTTAGTGGCAAGTTTTCTTTCACCTATATATGTATATTATAAAACGAAAAAAAGTATAATTATCTATTATAGATAAACTGGCAAAAGTTTTTAAAAAGCTTTTCGCAAAATTTTTTTCAATAACTTTTTTCTTTTATTTAAAGATACTAAAACAATAATAATATATTATAGCTTATATATCAATTGGCTTTGAACAATTGTAAGTTTATATTCAAGAATCTCAAGTTTTCTTTCTTTTTAAATTAAAAAATTTTTCTACTATTATAGTATAAAAAAGAAAAATTTTCAATTTCTTATTAATTCTTTTAATTTAACTAAAGCTAATGAAATAATAAAAAATGAGATCGTCGACATATATATTCAAAATTCATTTGCATGCTCGCAATTTTAGTGTTCTGAAACAACAAATAATGATAAAAATAATAAAAACGAATAAAACAGATATTTTAAAACAATTAAAAGTTCTTACCTATCGTGAAAAAAATAATTTAATTCTTTAAACCTATTGCTTGAATTTAAAAAAATACACGTTGTTGCAGAACTCTATTTGATTATTAATTATTTTGCCTTCTGCCTTTCCAGTTAAATAGATTATTATAAAAAAAACTTGTACGATCACTCACGCTTTCGTTCATCAGGATGTTTAATGCATAATAATTTAAAGAAAAAACAAGATTTTAAATAATTGATATTTAAAAAAAAATAAAAAACGAATCATTAAATATCCTGTTAATCTTCACTTCCGTGACAAACAATAAATCTATGTACATAATTTGTGTGCACGATTGTTTTATGTTTAATTAATTGCACCTTGAAAATGTGAGAGACAATCCTGCATTAAGTCACTAAAAGAAATTTCTTAATTTTAGTTGTTATTTTCGCGTTTATGGGCGTAGCTATCTGAGGATCACTCCTACTTTAGGGGTATTTCACTAGTAAAAATTCTTTCTATTTTGCAGGCTAAAGATTTTATTGCTTTTATTGCTCAAGATCCTTTTTAATTATATGTCCTTTCTGTTTGAGGGTGGTGCCATTTAAAGCGTACGCCCACTTTAGGGATGGGCGTATCGGTAGTTCCGCCCATAAATGGGAGTGCCTCTCCCAGTTAGAGGCGTGTTTTAAAACTTTTCCTCCTTATGATGCTAAAAATTAATCTAATAAAAATTGATTTTATTTAACGTTTAATGAAAAATTCTAGATGTCCTTCTTTTCAGGAACAGTGAAAGAGATTTAAAAGGGCGTGTCACTACTAAATCCCTCCTACTTACTAATCCATTCTAGCAGGGTGGGGGCGTAAGTTTCCAATTACGAAGAAATTTTATTAAATAGGCGTGTCATTACAAAATCCCTCCCACTCTAAAATGATATGTTTATTTTCCTTCCCTTAAAGAGGCGTGGAATTAAAAAAATTGTATTAAATAGTTTTAGGAATTTTTTTTCCTGTAAAAAAATAGATGATTTAAATTTTCCAAGTGACTTACTGTTGGATGGTGTCTCCCAAAGTCCTTTCCAAAAAAAGACACGTGTCATTTTAAAGATGGTGTTTTTTTTTGTTGTTGTTGTAAATACACAATATATATCTATATATATTTTTTAATGAACGAAAAAGAAAATGAGGTGCGAACGAAACTGTGCGTACGATCGGGATAAATCTTGTGAGAGTTTGAATCTTGTCTGTTGATTGGTCTTAAGTCCCTGTTTGTCCACAGAACATCACTGAGCAGGTCCTGGTGAAAGAGGCCTACTGGGTCGAAGAGACAAGAGAGGTTGGCAGCTAAAAAAAAGCAAAGAAAAGCGAACTTGTTTCAATGCATATAGAAAACCCTTGCTCCCTTAATTTTTGCAAAACTTGATCAGATGACGAAAGCTTCCTCTTTTCTCTTTCGCAAAAATCTCTATATAAATTCGCTATACATATTTATATATACTGCAAATGTCACTAATTATTATTTAAATATTTATTATTCATTTTTATTATTATTATTACTGTTACTTATTATTATTCCTTTTCTTAGTTAATTAATTACGTTATCTGAGAAAGTTTTATCCACTACATAATTTTATAGGTCCAAGTTCGTCTCTGGTATCTTATTTTGATCTGAGATAATTGGCATTTTAAATTAGTATTTTTTTTATTGATTAATTAGATAGGTCTAGGTATTATACATAAATATAGTCACCCTGTGTATTGTATCAAGATAGTAGAAAGGTTTCGCTACTTAATATCAATGAGATCATAGTAATATATTGATTAAATTTATAACTAAAAATTCTTAAAGAGAATAAAGAATATAAAAATTAATTTATTTATAAATTAAAAAGAAATTCATAGAAAGTAAATATCGATCATTTATTTTTCTATGTAGAAGAGTAGATATAAATTATTTAGTTTTATGATAAAAAAACATTTCTTTCTTTATTTGTTATTATCATACAAAAAAATTATTTCGATAGTGTGATAGATTAAAAAAATAATCTTTACTTATATTCTGCTATTGAAACTGTAGTGAGTTATGGCCATCAAAATTCTTATGATGATGAAGGTTTTATTATTGTTGTTACTTATATACTACTACTACTATTACTACTACTATTTTTATTATTATTATTATTATTAATTATTATTAATTATTAGTATTATCGCTACCACTATTATTTCTTCATATAGACGTGTGTGGATTTATATTATTATTATTATTATTATTATTATTATTATTATTATTATTATTATTATTATTATTATTATTATTATTAGAAAATTCATTACGAGTTTGAAAATATCACATAGTCTCTATTGAATTTTAAAACAAAGACTATGAAATTAATTACATTCAATAGCATTGTTTTTACAAATATCAATTATTTGATAAAAGTTAATTAAAATTGTATTTTAAAAAACTTTCTTTTTATTTTAAATAAAGAATATATAATTCAAATTACCTTAACTTTAATCTAAAGGTTAATTTTTGATAATTAATTAATTACACTTGAATATTTAACTTTTTTGTTAATTTTAAATTTGAAGAATTATAATTTATATAATACTGAAAAATGTATAAAGAATATTTAAAAAATGAATATTTTTTTGCAAAAAATTGTAAATAATTGAACTTTGTGATATTTTCAAGGCCTGTTGTTCAATCCTTTTAGCATTTTTGGGGAAGGTAGATTATTTATTATATTAATGCTTCTTGGTAATGAGACTTGAAACTCGACGATTGTGTCTGTACCTTCGTCGCTTGCTTTTCGCTTTTTTGTGGATTCTGGTTTTAGTAATCGAACTGTATTTTTGCAGACGAAAATAGCAAAACTCCTTGGCGTTGCCGGGACAGATGTGCCAATTACAGAAATACAAAGATTTATGATGCCTCATACGGTAAATGAATATACATTTTTTGTTTTTTTTTTTAAATATACAATCATCTTTTACAATAGAAAATCTAAAAAATTGATAAATTCTTTTTCTAGCTGGGCGTCAATGGTTACGCTTTTCTCGTAACAAATAACGGTTATATTCTGACACATCCAGACCTTCGTCCAGTGGTAAGTTATAGTTTTCAATTAATAATTATATTGTCACAATATATTTAATAATAAATAAAATTAATTGAGCGTCCTATTTTGTGTAATGGGGGTGGATTTAATTATAACCACGCCTTCAAGTGGGAGTGGCTATCCAAAAACTCCTCCTAGTGGGCGTGGAAACATAAAAATAAGATTTTTGTTTTAAAAACAGTTTCAGAATATTCTAAAACCAGCGTACAATAGTGTGGATATGGTTGAGGTCGAATTGGTGGATCAAGACAGAGGTCCGCGTGATTTTGACGATGCTTTAATCGCGGTAATTATCATGATTATTAATCTATTAAATTAATTAATATTTTGTTGTGCTAATGAAATCAATAAACATTTTTTTGAGCGTAATATATGCTTGACCTTAATTTGTCTTTCCTTTTTTTTATTGGTAGCTTCGTGACGACGTGATTAATCAAAAGAGCGGTAGCGTGACACTTCACACGAGATACCATTACGACGATATGGTGAGTTTATGAATATAATTGGAAAATTATTGAACGTATTTAATAATTATTAATATCTTTCACTGGGGGGAATGAGTGGTAAATTTTTTTTTCTTGTATTTTTAGCAACGGGTTGGCCGAGTAAGAAGAAAATACGATTACATGGGAATTGAGAATACTACATTTACGGTGGTGGTCAGTTTACCCGAGTATGATCAGAATGGTAATTACAGGATTCACGCTGCTGTTGAAACCAAGAGATTATTGTCTCAAGGTATTAAAAAATTTAAAAATTAAAGTTTTTTTTAATTTTTAAAAGATTTTGCTTTTTTTTATTATTTTGTGTCGATTTTTAACTTTCTTTTCATTTCTTTTTCAGGGACAAATGTTCTCGCCTACTTCTCAGGAAATAATTGGCGAGTTCATCCGGATTGGATTTATTGCAAGTTAGTTGTGACAACAGTGTAATTATATAGTATAGAAGTATTTTATACTTATAAGAGTTCAGACTAGCGACATTTCCTGACATTTTTTTTATTAAATGACGCTAGTCATGGTTTAAATTTCATTTCATATGGTAATATACACAATTTTTAGATATCATTACGATGGGGAATTTGAGTTTCGATCACCGGAGGATCAACTTTTGCATTTTTTAAATAGAACTCGGCAACAAGAACCACCATGGAGGTGGATTGATGCTAAACAAAGATCTCAACCCCCAGAAAAGTCGAACGCTAGTTCAAAGACCTTCAGTAAGTCAGGTATATTGTTCGATATAATTTGTTTATAATTTAAAAAGTGGATTTTTTTTAAACTGCAATTTATTATCAGGGTGGGCTTTCATCTAAAGTCGACCCTGTTTATTAATAAATATTTTTTTATGAATATTTGAAATGTTTAATAAAATTATTTTTGCACAGTAGATTCTTATTACTGTGACCGGCGTCTTCTCCTGAATTTAGTGCATGACGCTCAGGTAACCCAGTGGTTTGCGAATGCCTCGTCAATTCGGGATGAAAAAGGGTAAGCAATTTTTGTTTTTTTTCACCCTCCTAATGAAAAATTAAATTGTTTTCGATATTAGTTTATAAAATGAAAAATCTTTCTTATACAATTTTTTTCACTAAAAACTTTAACACAACTGTTTATTATTAGATGTGTCACGTAAATTCAGTGTTTCGGTAAAATAAACAAAAAATTGATATTAAAACTTGAAAAAATAAATTTTTTTTCACATTTAAAAATAATTCGCACTTAACTTACGTGTGCACAATCATCGTTGACAATTATATTTTTTTTCTTCTCTTTTTTATAATGTAGAATACGAATTAAAGATAGTTACAAATGTTTCTATCTTTATTTTTTGGAAAAATTCTACAAAGTAGAAATAATAATAACTTTATGAAATAGAGGTTCACAAATATATATACACATATACAGACACATGTTTCTTGAGTGTTTATATATTATTTTAGTTCGTTTTTAATGCACATTTTTTTTGTATATCGGATAGATAAAATGCACCTGTTCTTTTTTAACTAATAATACTTACCACTTTGACGCCATGCAGACTTTTAACTAGGCTGATGAAACTCCTACCCAGGTAACGTCATCACATCGCACCTAATTACGTTCTTTATATAGACTTAAAAAATTAACTCGCGATTCAATTAGTTGATTTTTATAATTTATTACTTTTTTAAAAAAAATTTATTCTCTATTTATTGTCTTGTTACCATGTTCATCTAAGCTATAAATATATTTATATTTATATATACTTAATAAATTTTGTGCACATTTTTATTTAACTCTGCAAAATTAATTTAGAATGTATTTTTAATGATATCGCATTTATTTTGTATACGCAGTGATTCTGCATATTAAGTGGACGAAACTTTGGAATTAATTTTTTTTAAACTTAGAATTATAGGTAATATTAAAAACCTTTATTGCAAAAAATCCTCAGATTCGTTCACATTTATAAAAATAATACACTTTTATAATACAAAAACAGCATTTGATGAAGCATTATGAAATATTCTTATATTTAAGCTATACATATACCTAATCAAACGGATAATAAAAAAGCGCATAAACGAATTTCAACAATTTCGCTTTTATTCGTTTTTGTATATAAGAATTTTAATATAAATTCCCTTCGCTTTTTTTATCTTAAAGATCATATTAAAAGCATTTTTTTGTATTTGCGTAAAACATTTTCTTTTGTAAAATATTGATGTGTAATATAATGCATTATTTTTTTGCTTGTAATATAAAACATACTCTTTACAGGACGAGGAAGAAGGAGAATTACACTTTTTTTTTGTTAGAACATTATTTGTTACACTTGTTTTTTTTATGAATAATATAATTGCCATTTAATTTTAGATTGTATTTTTGAGTAAATATTCCAATTGTGCGAAAACGTTATTATTATTTTTTATTATTATATACCTTGTCAAGTATATTATAAAATTTGCAGCGAAAATAATTTGTTTAGCATAAAATAGTTATAGCATTATTTTCCTCACAGGAAAGAATTTTGGCAACGTTTTGGATTTACTGTCTCCTTTATGGCGACGCACAGTGGCTTAACGAGATGGCAAGAATTTCATTTAGATGATGATATTAAGGAGAAGGAGGAAAATTTTGGATCAAAATATCCACGAGCAATTGATGAAATTTGGTACAAAAGAGCTGTGGAACAACATTATGTTTATCCGGAGAGTTTTGTTTTTTCAGTACCAATTATTCATAAGCATCGAAATTTAATTAATAACAGTACATTGGTCACTGCCAGTCGTGCTGTATTTGTTGGTATGTTAAAATTTTTATTTCCTACCTTACTTTCTTTTATAAGGTAATTTTTGTAAAAGGATCAATTTTTTCAGGTTCTGGAACAGCCAAAGCACCAGTGGGTGTAGTGGGTTTTCAATTTTTACACTCGGCATTGCAGGGTCTCTTTCAGAATATAACTGATACTTGTGAGAATTGTACAGCAAATTGTAAACATCCCGATGTGGCATGTTATCTAATAGACAATCATGGATATATTTTGGCGTCAAATGACGATAAACATGCGGCTCGATTTCTTGGTGAAGTGCGTGGCACTATAATGAAAAGTCTAATACACAGGGGGATTTTTAATAAAGTTACAATTTACGATTATCAAGCAGTATGCTTCCCACCAACTGCTGAAAGCAACGTTGGAAATATTTTGATAACGGTTAGTAATTAATATTTTTAAATGATGTCAAAAATTCACTACAACATTAATTCTTTTAGCCATGGAAACTTCTTCGAGCAGCAGCGTCCTGGTTTTTTGCGCACGCTGCTTGGGCAATTGCAAAAGCAGGAATTTGGCATAGCGACTATGCTTATGCAAATATGGATTTATATTCAAATCAAGAATTTGCTGATGATAGTTCACAAATGTCAGATGAGACAAGAGAAGCACGTTATTATGACAAAATTAAAATTAAAAGAACAAGGCCACAATCATGTGATAAGGAGGTAAAATTATTGTAAAAATTAATAATTTAATTAAGAAGTAAATAATAATTTTACTTTCCAGGTGGATTTATATCTTCTAAATCACACGAACACAAAGGAATATGACGTTGATTCCGATAGATGTGCGCGGCCTTATGTTATTCAACCAGTTGAGCTCAGTAATATGTTACTGTTGATAATTGACACAACGTGTCCTGAAATTGAGGAGAATAATTTTAAAATAATGCACACGGAAACATTTGAGGACAGTTCATTAATGTCATTGGCATGTATGAAAGCAGTGAATAGCACTTTGAAAAGGAAAAGACCAATGTCTTGTGTACGAAGTCATCGAAATGAAAGTGAAATTCGCGATCAGTGCGGTCATGCCTCGAACTTTAAATCAAATTTCAAATTTATCATTATCTCACTCGTAATATCCTGCTATCAACTCAGGCTATATTTTCCCTTTTCCTAAAAACCCCCGAGAATCACATTTTTTAATCCCTTTAAATGGAATTTAGCCAAAAAAAATTCACCAAAGACTGCTACAATTCAAAATTCGTCATAAATATTTTTCAAAATTTTTCACACAATTTTTCAAAACTAGTTCTTTAAAGAATTTAGTCAAAAAACACAATTTTTAATATAACTAGTTTATAGAATTTTTCCAAAATATTGGTCAACCAGAAAAAAGAAACAATGTCAAATATTTGACAACAATTTTTCAAATATATCTCACTTGTATTAAGTTATTCAAGTTTTTCAAATAGTTGAGAAATTTTCTCTTTATTGTTTGTTTTTGAATCTTTCATAAAAATTTATTTTGTTGATATTCTTCCAAGTTTTTATGTTAATTTTCATTTAATTGTTAATTAAAAATATTAAAAGTTTATGTGATTTTTGAATTCGAGGGGATGGAATAATTAATATTAAAGACTTATTCATTTAATGGGTATTTATCGTATAATCTCAACAACAAAAATGGTCCACTTTGATAATAAATCAAGTCGTTAAACAATTTTATTTTTAATTTCTTTACTGTACTAGAACAATTGTTATATACACCCCCACAGAAAAAATAAAATTAAACAAAAATTTATTATAGAGCTATCAAATAGCTTCTATATATTATAAAATTGCTATATATAATTACAATAATCTTTATAAACAACTCGATCAAGATGAAAAAAAAATTATTTAAAATGAAGACAAAGAACTTGATTCTTCAATTTTTACTATAAATTTTCCTCTGTAAATAAAGTACACTTATTAAGAATCGAATAATAATATTATTCTCGAAGGGAGAATCAAAGTTCTCTTTGCAATTATTTATTAAGTTTAAAATAAATTTTACGAGAAATCCATACGACGTACTTTTGTTCGTGAGCAAAAAGAAAAAGTAGGAATTTAAATATAAATAGGAGAAGAACTAAAATGAATTAATTTCCCAAACGAGTAACGTTTTTAATTTTTAATGTGGCTCGTCGACTCGAGGAACGTTGCGCGGCGTAGCGAACAAAAAGTGGAGATAGAGCGTTATCTTCTTTTCTCACGTGTAGCGCGCGCAACTTCTATATTGTACTAGAGAAAAAAATGCTGATAATGCCAAAATTTTTCCGAATTGAAAAAACATTTTTTTGAAACAAGTACCTTTAAGGACGCCGGCGTCCGATTGTACCGACTTTTTTTTTATTTTTTTTTTTGCACTCTTAGGTGCACTTTCAATTTTTCATACTCTCCTTCTCTCTCATTGTCACAAAAGTATTGAGAGAAAAAAAATTGAAATAAAGTCCACAAATATAAATAATAAAATAGACGTGAAAATTCGTACTGCCGAATATATATATATATACATACGTGAAGAACTACGTTCGTTAATATGAACTGCTACTTTTTCATTCTTATTGCATGTTTTATAAACTATATATATAAAATTGTATATACCATGGTGCTCTAGATTTGATTGAAAATTGTGTGTGTGTGTGTGTGTATGTTGCAAGTTACAAAAAATTTATTTATTGTTAATCGCCACTTTTTTGGCTCAATCAATTACTTGAAATTTTATTAAAATACAAAAAAATTTGTTTCTTTAAATTATTAATATTAATTTTATTTAAATATATTTTATCTATTGATAGAAAAAATATGTCTATTTAATTCATATATTTTATATTAATCTACTAGATAATTAATTAATATTATATAATATAACTAAATTAATTAAAATAAAATATTAGTTAATTACTTCAAATAATTAATTAGTAGTTTTATTTATTACATTGTGTAATTAATGTTCTGTTAAGAAAATTGGAATATTGTTTTAACAAACAAAAAAAAAGATTATTTGTTTCTTTCCAATTTTACTCAAGTTAAATAGCCAATCAGTAACTTCATCATTCTTGCAAGTAATTTTGTGATTTTTTTCCATAAACTTTTTCTATTCAAATTTCTTTAATATATACTTCTGAATTTAATAAAAAAAGAAAACTCAAGTTCTACAAAGTACGAACTTTGAAAAATATTGTTAAAGTTTTTATGAGTGCTTATAGGAACATTTTAAGTGGAAGTATTTTATGGAAAGCGTTGCATTTCATGTACTGAACATAAAAATAAAATAAGTAAATAATAATTAAACTATACTATGATAAAACTGAACCTCCTAATTCTATAACTCGTTTAGCGCTCGGCCGGACGCTCTATTGGTAGTCGGGTAGCAGCGAGGGAGCCATTGACGCTCGCTGCTACCCGAGTTACAGAATTGGGAGGTTCAACTGTATTACATATATAAATAAATTAATTATTAAAGCAGTATTCATAAAAACGAACGTAAGTTCATCAAAAACATTTTTAAATTAAAAAAAAATCTCATTAACTGACGTTCGTAATATTGTACATCGATCGACTTACAAATACAATGCGCGTCGTTTCATATTTATAATAATAAAAAAAAAAGATTATCTACGATTCATTTTTGTAAATTATTGTAATATAATAATATATATATATATATAAATATATACCCACTATGGAGATATGTAAGATTGTGTGCCTTTGGTCACGCGCTTAAACCAAATCTTGTTGTATGTTTTCCAAGTAAATTATTAAATTCCACTACTGTTTTCTTATAATTATTTCACGGTACCCGTTTCATTATTTCCCATTTTTCTATTTCTTATAAATGTTTTTCCAATTTTAGTTTCTGATATTTAAAGAAATTCTCCAAGTCACACTTTCACAGAAAATTAAAAGGCATTAAAATAAGCTGCAACGCTTATTATTTTAATCCAATTGTGCTTATTTTAATCCATTTTAGTATTAAAATAAACAAAATTGGATTAAAATAATAAGCGTTGCAGCTTATTTTAATGCATTTTAATTTTCTGTGTTACAAATAAAATTAGACATTTTTTAACACTATTTTTAAAAATAGATTCCATATTGGATCCGCAATTTTGAATTTTATAAATATGTCAAATATTACAACTCAAAGCCTCTAATTTACAGTTACAAATTGAACTTTTTAAAAAGTCGTAAAAATATAGATAAATAATTCTTGTTAAGATTAAAAATAAATTTAAAACTGTCACGAATTTTACAAAAATTATATCTGTTGTAGACATATATTGAATTTTCAAACGAAATTATCTTTGAATACCTTAAAAAAAGTAAACATTTCAATCTATAAATTACTATGCCTCGAGCCGTTTTATCGAGTTATAAAAAAAATTTCATTTTGTCAGTTCAGAAGACACACTAACAAATTTATTTTCTTTAATTCATTAGATTTAGATAACATCCACTTAAAGTGGCTTTGCATTTAGATTTAACATTTGAACCTGCCAAAATTTAAAAATGGTGTTTGAGATCATTAATAATTTAATTCTCGTCGCATTAATTTTTTCCAATCAAGAATCTTTCATTAAATCAGAAACAATAAGTATATGTGCATATAATTAAAAATTATAAAGATTTACTTAATTGTTTAAATTTTTTTATTGGTTTCAGATTCAACGTGTGAGCTAGAAGAAATTGTAAATGGATACCTTGAAATAAATGAAAATGGCATCACTGGGACACTACATTGCAATACAAATTATACGTTATATGGAAATTCGAGTAGTATATGTTTTCAAAATTACTGGTTAAATTTTGGCCGTTGTGTTCGTAAGAATTTTTGCTAAGATTTTTCTTAAAATTTTGAAACAAAATAAAAACATTTTTTTCAAAAATAAGAACTGTCCTAAAATAAAGACCTTTATGTGTAAAATTAAAAAAAATTAAATTTGAATTTTTTTCAGTCAATGATTGTATAAAAAGTTCAATGCATTATACTCTTGAAATGGATACATATAGTTCAGAAGAAGAGATACATTATGGGTGTAGTTATGAATATGAATTAAAGGGACCAAAATTCGGATTTTGTACCAATGGAAAATGGTCAAATCCTCCTCCTGTATGTGAATTAAAAGAATCAGAAAATCAATCTTTTGTAGAATCAAAATCAACAGGTATGATTTGACTATGAAAAATTAACAAAAATTGTTTTTTTGTACTTTTTTTTATACTTATTTTTAGAGGAAAAATGTTCACCATTCCAAATTGAAAATGGAGTTGTTGCAATAAATAAAAGGGGTACGATTGCGACAGTAAAGTGTAATTCAAATTATTCACAAAAATATGAAAGGAAATCAAATATTTACTGCAATAATGGAATATGGATGAATCAATTTTTCACTCGTTGTATTCGTAAGAATATTGAACACACTTTACTTAATATTTCGTTTATTTAAACTAAAATAACTTTTCTTCAAGATGTGTATATTTAATTTTTTCAGATAATGACTGTTTAAATAGTCCTTCGCATTACACTTTGACAAATGGAGATGTTTATCCCTTTTATAGAACGACTTCGGATGTAAAAATAAAATATAGATGCAATAATAAATATTATAATTTAATAGGAGAAAAAGCGGCATTCTGCATCGATGGGAAGTGGTCAAATCCTCCACCTGAATGTAAAATAATTAAAAAAGATTTTACAACATATTATTATTCTGTTATTGAACCCCAACCACCAGGTAGGTGTGCCTAAAATATTTATACAAAAACTATTTTTCACTTTTTTTCTATTTATTTTTAGTTCCACAGTGTCTGGCCTTTCAACTTAGTAATGGGCAAGTTAGGGGAGAGCGGGGCAAAGACGCTAATGTAACGTTTATTTGTAAATATTTTCGTTATTACACCATCAATTTACGTGATTTTTTTTTCTAATTAATTTCAAACTAATTAACAACAAATTTTAATAATAATTCTTTAATTTATTATAAGCATGATTATTTAATTTAATTATTCTCAAGAAGATGCAAAAAAACGGCTTTGCCCCTTATGGCGGGGCAGCGACGTTTTTGCTTATATTTTTAAAAGGAAGAAAATTGTAGCCGTTAAAACTGTATGAACTTGCAGTAAATGGCCGAATATCTTTGAAACATAAGTATTTAGTACATTTTTTTAAAAGAATTTGAGATATTTTATAAAAAATAATCATTACTTGTATTTTTAACCTCACATTTTGAATTAGATTCTCCACTGTTTCATTAAAATATCTACTTTACCATCTATTCAAATTGAAAAACAATTGAAATAACCGCGCGAAAATATAATGAAATAAAAAATAGAGTTACATTAGCGGCTTTGCCTCGCTTTTCCCTACGTCCTTACGGACTAACCCCTTTACCCCTCATCTAGTGAGAAGACTATTGGAAAGACAAATCTCCCCCTACTCATTCCAATCTTGGATATTTTTTAACGCTCGAAAATCACTCCAATTTGGCAATTGTTCTTTATTTATTATTCCCAATTTCACAAGTACCAAATTTAAAATGTTTCTACCCGCGTTTACATCACGATTCCATGAGATTTTACATGAAGCACAATAAGCTGTTCTGTTTCTGAAAATGTCCATGTTTTCGTTGCAAGTGCTGCAAAGTTTTGTGGTTCGATGTTCATCGATAAAAACAATTCGTAAATTTGGATATTTAGATTGCTTTTCGATTAATCTCCTCGCAACTTTTCTTAACGGCATCCGCACGTGGCCACGCATCCATGGTGATATTTCAGGTGATCCAATCACCAACAGTTGTTTCCTCTTTACATCGCCAACCATGTAATTTGCTAAGAGATCTGTTTCACGTTGTACTGACATGTACTTGTCCCATTTCAAAGCCGCTATTTTTCGTTTTTCAAAATAAGGTTGATTTCGTTTTAGCGCTGTCAATAAATATTCTGTTGATATTAAAATTTGTTGAGGATCTTTATGATTTACTTTGTCACGATATTTCTCACTTACTTGCAAATCGTGATAATATTTTTTATAATTCTTTGTCTCATTATAAAGAATGCTTTGTCTCTTATTCTCCTGAGTTTGCCACCTGTAAGATTTTGTAGAAATTTTTATATGTTTATCTATACATTTAATATCGAAATTATCATTCATTTTTCTTTCTACTCCAGCAAATCCAAATTTCAAACCTGGGTCAAGACCCTTGAACACTTCATATTTTGTTACATCTCGCGACTCTTGTTGCTGTAAAGGAGAAAAATTTGTTATATTTTTTGGTTTAACAAGATTATAAATTACAGACACAGCCACACCATCCGTCATGATTGTTTTGGAAAATTTCAATTTCTCTTTATTGACTTATATTTTAGATATGTCAAACATGTTGTTCCATCTTTCATCATTTTCATTAATTTTCTCCGGACGTCGTTGATTTTTAATGTCTTGATGTCATTTGTTTTCCAATTGTATTTCCTTTTTGATTGGAGTCAATTTTTTTGTAATTTCTTTTAATTGATTTTTTATGTTTGACGATTCTTCTGCATTTTTTGGATTATTTGCTTTTTCCAAATATTGAAAATTTCTTTCCAAACCAGTTTTTTCAGCATGCAGCAACTTTGACTTTTCTTTTAATGGCGAAATGATGTCTTTGTGCATGAGTTCTTGTGCTGCAATTTCATTGACGGTAAACTTTTCCGATGCTTTTTAAGTACATGTATAATCTGGTGCTACTTTTTTCAATTCAGTTTCCAACAGTTTTAACGCCGTATTCGTGTACCTAATGTACTTTAGACCAGGACTCATGATTGGTACAAGAATAAAACTTTTGATTCCTTCACGTGCAACATAATCTTGTAAACGATGAAAAAATATAAGAAATTTGTGACATTCCTTTCTTCTTTTAAGATCTCGAAAATCCAAATTTTCCAAGTTCAAGGCCTTTAGAGTTTCATTATCACATTCATTGTATTTGAGAAGATTGTCAAGTTTCGTTTTAATGATTTTCCTATGATTCAATTCTTCCTCCTCTTCATTGTCCTGCACTTTTTTTGTGGCCTCTTTAATATTACTTGTTTTTGTCGATGGCTTTGATGATTTGTTCTTACGTGTTGTTTTTTCCCAGTTTTTATTGTTTTTTTTAAATGTTAAACGTTCTCGATATTTTTTACCTCTATTTTTGCCCTTTGGAGGTAAATCATAAACAATTTTTCTTTGTTTTTTATCGCGATTTTGTTTTAATTTTTTAACGTTTCTAAAAATTAATTTTTCCACATGCGGCTCATAGGGATGCAACCTTTCTAATTCAGCACGTCTTGCTCTTCTTTCTTCTCGATACAGTTGTTTTATTTTTTTATTTTTTTTTGGCCCACTTCTCCCTTTTTTTCTTGTTACGTAATCTACGAATTAATTTTTTTTCACGGTAAACTCTTGTTCGCTCCTGTTGACGTTCTGTAGTTTCCATTTTATCCAATTTCATTGTAGATTTGTTTTTTTAAAATAATTCATGTTTGAAGAACGTAGCAAGTCGACTTCTGGCATGATAATGAAGATTCGTCAAGTAATTGACATTTCATTGAATTGCCATTTCCTGTATTTGAGAAGAGAGATTTGTGCAATTAAATAATTCAAATTTGCCACCCATGTACTCAGTAAACTGAGGAATAAATTCATTTTTCAATTTATTATGCATTTCTTTTTTGGCATCAGTTCTTGGTTCTGTAGAATTTTCTTTAAACAACGGAAATATTGAATTATAATCGGGACCTTGTTCGGACCAGATTTTACGTAAATAATCATTTGTGGGATGACGAAGTGCAAAGTTTATAAAAATTGTAACCAATATGGTCGTTCTCGATAGCACTTTGACTTGATTAATGACCAAATCCCGAAGTTCTGGACAGCAACAAAAAGAATCAGAAAATCCAGTCTTTATCGTAAATTTTGTTTGAAGTTTTAAATCTTCACCATCATCATCATCGTCGTTGTCGTCTACTGCTGCTGATGATGATTTATCGACTTTTTCAGGTGTTTCTTTTTTGTTTTTCGATGATTGTTTTTTGGGAGTCTTTTTACGGGTATTCTGTATTTTATCAGTAGTTTTCTGCATTGACTTTTTTGTGACCATTGATATAAATGAGACTGCATCTTGTACATCAGCTTGTTTACTTGTTGACGGTTGTGGTTCGTTGGCATAATTTTTTTGTGTCGATAAAGATTTTGGTATTTTAAATTTTTCTGTTGGTGTGTTTTTTTCATTTTTAGCTTCGTATGTTGTTTTTTCGCTTCTTTTATCACTGCCCAAATTTAATTTGAATCGCTTCCTTGGAATTGGGCTGCGTTTAAATTCATTTTTTTCACCCAAATCGACAGATTCACTTGATTCAATATTTAAAAGATTTAAATTTTTCTGCCACGACAAAGTTCTATCGTCATTGTTGATGTTTGATATAAAAGGCTGAGAATTGTCATTAATTGACATTAGAGTATTTCCGTCGTTAAGAAAATGTTGCTGAGGTTGTCGATGATCATCGGAGATGTCTTCTTGAAAAGATTGATCTTAACGGTAAAGAAAATTAAAACTTGGCAATGCATTTAGCTCTTGATTTAAATGTGCGTCTTCTTGAAGAGGAATTAACTGTTGATGATTCGTGGGTATTACTTCTTGAGATTGATCTTGACGGTAAACAAAATTAACACTTGGCAATGCATCTGGCTCTTGATTTAAATGTGCGTCTTCTTGAAGAGGTAACAACTGTTGATGATTCGTGGGTATTATTTCTTGAGATTGATCTTGACGGTAAACAAAATTAAAACTTGGTAATGCATCTGGCTCTTGATTTAAATGTGCGTCTTCTTGAAAAGGAAACAACTGTTGATGATTCGTGGGTATTACTTCTTGAGATTGATCTTGACGGTAAACAAAATTAACACTTGTAGATGCACTTTGTTCTTGATTTAAATGTTCTTCATCTCGCGGAGGAAACAACTGTCGACGTACTCGATTCACATTACAATTCTGACCATTGTCAGATTGTTGACAACGACGCGGAAATAAGGGAGTAAATCTACTGTACACTGTACGAATACGATTACTATCAACACTATTTGAATTATGATTACTGCCCGAATTATTATCACTACGCCTTGGTAACAATGGAACATTGTCGCGAAACATTGCGTCTATTAATCGCATTGATTTGTTAAACGCGACGTTGTGCATTTTCAATATCTGCACGTGATGGAGGAGATTTGTTTGTTTCTTTTTTCTTATCACTCATTACAATAATAAATGTTAAACAATTAACTAAAATCTATCTTAAAACTATATACATGTACAATAACACGGTTTATCAAAAAAAGTTTCTATAATGACATTCGACAATGTTTTCTGCAAGACACACGCAGAATCTTGTCCAATGCAGCAAAGCAAAGTTTCCTTACAATATTCATCAAAAGCATTGTTGACAACAAATTCAATTAAAACTCCAAAAATGATCCAAGTTGATAGACTCGTAACATAACAAGGCCTGAGTAAAAAAATAATAATATAATATTTAATAAATTAATAATTTCAATAATTCTTAATATTTAAATATAAAAAAATTAAAATGGCAATAAGTAATAAGTGAGGGGCAGATAGCAAAAGTGGGTTAAAATTTGAGTGCGAACAAAAGTGTGAAAAAGAAATTGCAAACAAAAATGGGTTTTTATAGTAATTTCAGGTTTAGAATATTTATTTAAATAATAATTTTAAA